AGTTTTTAGTGAAATAGCATGGTTGTCTGACAAATTATATAGCCAGTGGTGGTATTCTGATCACGGTAAGACTATTTGTGGTAGTCATAATTTTCAAAATGATAATTATTTTAATGATTTCCTTCTCAACAAATTCCTGGGCATGCAACATCTACAGCCACCGTAGTGGGCCTGACACCTAGCAGTAAACAGGTACCTGGGAGTTAGACAGCTGCTACGGGCTGCTTCCTGTGTGTGTGTGTGTGTGTGTGTGTGGACAAAAAAATGATTGGTTGATAGTTGAGAGGTGGGCCCAAAAAGCCACAGTTCACCGCAAGCACAACTAGGGGAGTACATGCCTTTGTATGACTAACCATCCTGTGTGAGGGGAATTTTTAGCATCGCGTAGCTAGTTTTTGACACACTGTACTCCCCTTCGTATAATGTAAGGTAGCTGCACAAATGCAGATGTACCTGCATTAATACCTAAACATGCTAAAGTAAGCTCGCGCTATACCGCAGTGTACAGGAAACACCACCACGGGCAAACACCACCACTTAGCCGAAAAAAACAGAACACCGGAGGCCAGCACGGACAAGAGGCGACCTTGGTACACACCGCACCAGCCATTGAACTGGGGTTGAGAATGAGATTCCGGCTGACAGTGAGGTTCCTACTCCTTCCCCCAAACTAGTAAGGAAGGTGGGGCGAACAAGCTCACACTGGTTCAGAGAGACTTTTTATCGTTGTTTACATTGTTGGGGGAGAGTTCTAGGCTGATTTTGATGCGTCAGTCTCTTTTGATGCCAGAGTGATTAGTTTTGACTCGCTGATTTTCTAGTTGCCTTCGTTGGTGAGGTGGCGAAGGTGGCGAAAATAAATGTCACTGCTTCCTGCGCCTCTTTGAAGGGAGGGGGGAAGGTTCTGGCGCTGGTCTGACCTTTCCTCTCAATATTTGTTCTAGGTGCCTCCTAAATTCCTATTCTTCTGTCTCCATGAAGTTTTTTTTTTCATGAAGAGTCAATGATGTAACATGTTTCCTCGATTGAAACTTTTATTCTTTATCGGGACAACTTCTTAATGCGTAGTATCCAAACCTCTGGAAATATAACTGATACCAAGATTCCGCGCCAGCTGGCCTGGCGATTGGGGGAGTTCTGCCGGAAACCTCCAAAATGTTATGTTACACTTGGAGCGAGTATATTTTTGGGATAATCTACTCACTAATCTATGTAGCAAGTAGATTATCCCAATAATATATCCGCTCCACACTTCTGGCAGGAGACGTATTGAATAGCTGTGTTAAAATCACCCTAACCCATCTACACTTAATCTCATACGTTGTAAGGCTTTAAGGTTTAAATTCCCTCTGCACAATTAAATTACGGGAATACACACTTGAGTTGCGGGAAAGCTGTACATGTAGGCCCATGCAAGTCAACTAAGTTTATCCGTATTTTGTACTTGGTAACAAATAGATCCTTCCCTCCCCCCCCTTCTTGTGACTATCTAAATAGCTACTTTCTGGTACTTGTTGGTATTTACTTTACGGTACTTGTTACTTACTTTGTGCTTACTTTACTTCCTTTTAGTTACTTTGGCTTAGCTCTAGCTCTTTGGGTCCGTCTTTAAACTGTCAATCAATCAACTGATTATTTTTATTTCACTTTTTCTCCCCCCCCCCCCACACGCGCACACATCCAATTGATTGACGGTTGAGAGGTGAGACCAAAGAGCCAGAGCTCAACCCCCGCAAGCACAATTAGGCGAGTACAAATAGGTGAGTAGGCACACACTCAGGAAGCAGCCCGTAGCAGCTGTCTAACTCTTAGGTACCTATTTACTGCTAGGTGAACAGGAGCATCAGGGTGAAAGAAACTCCCCAATCCTCTACCGGGGATTGAACCCGGTTCTTTAGGACTACGAATCTCGAACGTAGTCCACCCAGCCGTCAGCCCCCACCCACCCCCTGTTGTGGTGGTGTTGGCGGGGCGACAAAGGTGTTGATGACGAGGGTGTTGATGACGAGGGTGTTGATGTGTGTGGAGTGAAGTCAAGACAATTATTATTTTTTTTTTCTACCACAGACGTGGCCACACATTTACAATGCGAACCAGCATATATACATTTTCTTCTGTCCTCCATGGACAGGGTTAGAGAAGTGTTAAACATACAGTTCAAGGGTTTATTGAACACTCAACCACAGAAGGTGATTCGGTGCTTTTAAAATGCTAAGCTAACCTACATACGTAAATACAAAGATACACAGATTTACGTACGCCCTACATAAAGTATTAGATGTGTCTTTTACATAGTGTCATTAATGTACATTCACAAAGGTGAAATGTAATTCTGATCAGCTTCCATATATGCTTGCCATATATGCCATATATATAGCATATATGCCATATATATAGCATATATGCCATATATATAGCATATATGCCATATATGCTATATATTGACCATGTAATGTATCAATCATACAATGTATGTATGTGATGTAACTATATAACCTGAGTCAAGACAATGAGAGGCGGCGTTGTTGCCGGCTGCCACCACCTGGGGGAGGATAAGATATCATGGTGGCGTATCCGGCCAACACGTGAAACATCCTCCTCCCTTGTTTTAGCTACACCAGCTACATTATCTCTCTCTCTCCTCGCCTTCCTCGCTTGCTCCCCCCCCCCCTCGCCTCCCTCTCTCCCTCTCTCTCCTCCTCCCTCCCTCCCTCTCTCTCCTCCTCCCTCCCTCCCTCCCTCTCTCTCCTCCTCCCTCCCTCCCCACCTCCTTCTCTCTCCCCTTCCTTCTCTCTCCCCTTCCTTCTCTCTCCCCTTCCTTCTCTCTCCCCTCCCTCTTTCTCCCCCCCCTCTTTCTCCCCCTCTCTCTCTCTCCTCCCTCTCTCTCTCTCTCTCTCCCCCCCCTCCCCCTCCCTCTTTCTCCCCCCCCTCCCTCTTTCTCCCCCCCCTCCCTCTTTCTCCCCCCCCCCCTCCCTCTTTCTCCCCCCCTCCCTCTTTCTCCCCCCTCCCTCTTTCTCCCCCCTCTCTCTCTCCCCCTCCCTCTCTCTCCCCCCCTCCCTCTCTCTCCCCCCCTCCCTCCCCCCCTCCCTCTCTCTCCACCCCCCCCCCCTCTCCCCCCCCCTCCCCCCTCCCTCTCTCTCCCCCCTCCCTCTCTCTCCCCCCCTCCCTCTCCCCCCCTCCCTCTCCCCCCCTCCCTCTCTCTCCCCCCCCTCCCTCTCTCTTTCGTTCCTACTCCATCGCCTCTTTCAGATATCATAAAGGCGGTAGTGAGGAGACAGCATCGGGTATAATTAACCTATCTATAGCATTGTTGTCCCTACACCAGGTACTGAGAACATGCTCTGAGGTAGGATGTGAGATGCTCTGCCATTCTCTTAATGAGTCAGAGTAACTTTTTGAGCAGAAATGATAAGAGTTTACTCCTCTTTCCTGATGTAATTTTGTTTGTCACATTATAAGCATCATTCTTTTACAGCAGGTGAACTCCACCTTTATTGTTCTTTGACCCAGACAGTAATGATGTAACTTCTTCCTTGGCAGGAGATCCCCACAGTGCGGCCTTCACCACACTTCGATGCAAGTAGTGATGCCGCTGTTCTCAGAAAGGCCATGAAGGGGTTTGGCACGGATGAGGCTGCCATCATTGGTGTTCTCTCTCGTCGGACCTCGGCTGAGAGGCAGCAGATTATGCTCAAGTATCAGCAGGCTTATGGCAGGGTTAGTCTTGGCCAAGGCAACAGATGTCAAATTTTGGAGTGTACATAGCTTTCAGAAATACAATTTTTTAGTGTATTATAATTTTCTCAAATGAATTGAGACATTTCATTCAATTAGTGATATTACCAGTGGCTTCGTATTTCAGGACCATTTTAAACTTTTAAATCAAATTTCAAAATTGTTTGTGGTGTAACAAGTAACTCCTGAAGTTTTATCGAAGTGGATTTTGCAGGAAGATTGACTTAAAAGTTAAAAAATTATTTTATCATTATTTAACTGATATTATAATTTGAGACTTGAGCCTTTTGAAAGGTCAGCATAACTGAAAAAATTAATTACAGTAGTGGTACAAGAAAACTTGTGTGTCCGATTTAAAAACATTGACGATAGGCGTACTTAGTAAAGTACATATAGTGCTTTTTAAAGTTTTTATCTTATTTGTATTGTCAGTGGAAGAAGCAAGTATGTTTTTGTTTTTTAAGATAACGTTTGTATGTATTTTGGTATCTTAATTGATGTGTAGTCTTGAGCCCTAAAATATAACTAATGTTCAGCTTCAAGTATAAACAACAAAAATTATCATTACTAAAACTTTTGTAATGTTCAGGTAATATGAGTTTTGTGTGTAACAGTGTCCCTGTGAAACGCATGTAGGGAGGTCTGAGCTGCGTATGTGTCCTTAGTCTACTGTTGATGTGTATTTTTGTATTTGCCTCACCTGCATTGTAGGAGGAGGGAGATGACTCAAAAAAAGGACTCACCGGGGTAAGTCACTTATGGCATATTTACCGTCTAGTATGTCTGTGCAGACTGATCTTCTGTGAATCTTTCGCATGATACTCTTAGGCTGAGGCTGTTTGCTTGGTTCCATCCTGGCGCTTACAACACAAGCCACACAATACAGTATTTATATTTCTACATTTTTTCAGTGATATATTTTAGCTGGCTTGTTAAAAATGTTAATTTCTTGAGAATGCTAGTAATTTTTATATGTTGGTGTATATTGTTTCTATAAAGCAATAAATTGTAGTAGAGTAAATCATGGGAACAAGAGTTGTTAAAGTTAATTCTTTGTGTACCTGGGAAAATGTTGAAAATTCTTTTTATCATAAATGCTGTACAGGTACATACTGCTTTCTCAGAATCTTGCAAATTGTAGTGTTAAATATATGAGACATAACCAGTAAATTCCAGACATTTTCTGGTAGGAACACCAGGGTTGTAAAAATTAATGAATTTATCTTCCTCTTGGAGAGTGTTGTACAGTATCATTCCTTTTAGCAATGCGCATATTTCATTGTGATGTCTGGTGTACCAGAAATTTACTCCAGAATGTCAAAATAGTCATCCAGGTATGTAACATGAAAGAATCCTGAGTAACTACTGTATATGGCTTTTTGAAACAAATTTGTGGTGCATCAGGACCTCGAAATGAAATTTGCTGTGTGAGTGGCAGCACTCTCCCTCCTCTGCCTGCACCATGTGGGCTATCAGACAATGCCCTTTAAACTTTCAGCCCACTGCATTTATAAAATATTTGTATGTTTAGTTTTGAGACATGAGATATTCTGATAATGCCTTTCGTTTTTACAACCCTCGTTGCCTGTACACTACAAGTACAGTATACAGTATTTAGTCTTGGATTATTTCTATAACATTTTGATGACCAAACCACACCAATAGATGGAGATGATGATATTTCGGTCCATCCTGGACCATTATCAAGTCGATTGAGAGGATGGACCGAAATGCCGTCATGTCTTCATATACTGTACTGGTGTGTGGTTTTGGTCATCATAATCTTCAGCCATGTTATTGTGACTCATCATCTGCATATCAAGTTTTATTCTTCTGAAGGCATTATATGCTGAATTTTTCTTGAATACATATACAGATGAATTTATCAGCATTTTGTAGACATACTGCAAGTAATGTGCTTTCCAAGTGAGTTGTTCATTTTTTTTTATGCAAGAATTTACATCAATTCACCATGTTAATTGAAATATACAGTAGATGCAACACCTTGGAAAAGAGCAGTGTACAAAAGTGATAACATCCCTTCGTCAAGTCATTGAGAATGTAGAAGCTTAGAGGTTAATAGTATTTCTTATATTCATAGCTTTATATGCTTACATTGTTTATGTGACATGCCACAGTACTGTGAAAGAGTTGAACAAATACTTCAGTCATGTATAATTATTAGCTGTACTCCTTACTTGTCTTCAGTATACCTTACATATGTAATGTGAGTGAACTGGCAGTTATTTTATAGTGATAGTAACACCATTCCTCTAATATCCTTAACTTCATTCATGCAGTCAGTTTTGGAGGATTTAATGTACAGTATTTGAATCCCTTACAGTAGAAGCTGGTTTTAAGCAGGGAAATTTTTGTAAACATATACAGTATTGGAGTATTGGGGTAAACAGATGTGTGGCATGGATGGTCAGATATACACATATACAACCGCTGCATATTTCCAGCTTTAGTCTAGAAGGTACCCAGTTCACGGAAATCTGGGCTCTCTCTGTACTGACAACTTAGTCTACCCCATGTGTGCACCCATTCTCTTACTCATTTCCATCACAGGAGCAGATGATAGACAATAATCTTATAGAAGGGGAATTAAATATACATATATTATCAAATAGTTTTGATGGGGACACGAGGGGGGTGAAGATGGTAGTGCCGGATGGTGTATGATAGTGAGTGGCATCCTTACTATCTCACTCACTAGATAGTGATGCATACCACCATGGAAAAATATTTAACAAAATGCTGTGCTCTGATTTGTTGTATCATTAAATATGTACTTAATTATTTACCAGCTTCTCTTGTATCATACTACTGTGTTTTTGCTTTTGTAGGCATGTAATTACATACGTGTTGTTACAGGATGAGAGCTACGCTCGTGGTGTCCCGACTTCCCAGCACTCCTTTTATCATATAATGCTTTGAAATTATTGACGGTTTTGGCCTCCACCACCTTCTCACCTAACTTGTTCCAACCATCTACCACTCTGTTTGCAAAAGTTAATTTTTTTATATTTCTCCGGCACCTTTGTTTTGTTAGTTTAAATCTGTGACCTCTTATTCTTGATGTTCCAGGTCTCGGGAATTCTTCCCTATCAATTTTTTTTATTCCTGTTATTATTTTATACGTAGTTATCTTATCGCCTCTTTTTCTTCTATCTACTAGTTTTTGCATATTTAATGCCTCTAACCTCTCCTCATACCTCTTGTCCTTCAGTTCTGGGAGCCACTTAGTGGCATGTCTTTGCACCTTTTCCATTTTGTTGATGTACTTCTTAAGATATGGGCACCATACAACTGCTGCATATTTCCAGCTTTAGTCTAACAAAGGTCGAAAACAATTTCTTAAGTATTTCACCATCCATGTATTTAAAAGCAATTCTGAAGTTAGAAAGTGTAGTATAGGCTCCTCGCACAATGTTCTTAATGTGGTATTCAGGTGATAGTTTTCTATCTAGAAACTCCCTAGATCTCTTTCTTTATCAGAATTCTTTAAAGATTTCTCACATAATTTATAGGTTGTGTGGGGTCTTTTCCTATTCCACATTCCATAACATGACAATTATTCACATTAAATTCCATTTGCCAAGTGGTGCTCCATATATTTATTTTGTCGAGGTCTTCCTGAAGGGCTTGACAATCATCTAGGTTTCTTATCTTCCCTATTATCTTGCCATCATCAGCAAACATGTTCATATAATTCTGAATGCCATCTTGTAGATCGTTTATGTAGACAATGAACATCACCGGTGCAAGAACTGAACCCTGTGGTACTCCACTTGTGATGTTTCTCCAGTCCGATACATTACCTCTGATTACTGCCCTCATTTTTCTCTGTTAGAAAATTTTTCATCCATGTTAGAAGCTTACCTGTCACCCCTACAATATGTTCCAGTTTCCAGAACCTCTTATGTGGAACTGTCAAAAGCCTTTAAGTCCAGATAGATGCAGTCACCCCAACCATCTCTTTCCTGTAAAATCTCTGTGGCTCGATCATAGAAACTGAGTAAATTCCTTACACAGGATCTTCCAGATCGAAAACCATACTGACTGTCTGATATTACGAACAAATGATAAACCTGGCCTATTCTATAAATTCATAAACATCAAACTATAGGTAAAGGATAATATTCAGAGGTTGAAAATGGGAAAGAGATTCACAGAAAATAAAAAGCAAATGTGTGAAACATTAAACAAAAAGTTCCAAAGTGTGTTTGTACAAAATGAAATCTTCAGAGAACCAGATACAATAAGAATTCCAGAGAACAACATAGAGCACACAGAGGTATGTAGAGACGAGGTGGAAAATATGCTCAAGGAGCTAAGTAAGGACAAAGCAGTTGGCCCATATGGAGTTTCACCATGGGTTCTGAGAGAATGTGCATCTGAGCTCAGCATGCCACCTCACCTGATTTTTCAGGCATCCCTGTGTACAGGAGTCGTAGCAGACGCGTGGAAAAAGGTTATCATGGTTCCACTCTACAAAAATGGCAGCAGGGAAGACCCCCTCAATTATAGACCTGTATTGTTGACAAGTGTAATAGTCACAATATTGGAAAAAATAATTAAAACTAAATGGGTAGAACACCTGGAGACAAACGATATAATATCAGATCGTCAGTATGGTTTTCGATCTGGAAGATCCTGTGTAACAAATTTACTCGGTTTCTATGATCGAGTCAGAGATTTTACAGGAAAGGGATGGTTGGGTTGACTGCATCTATCTGGACCTAAAAAAGGCTTTCGAGAGAGTTCCACGTAAGAGGTTGTTCTGGAAACTGGAACACAGTGGAGGGGTGACAGGTAAGCTGCTAACATGGATGAAAAATTTACTGACTGATAGAAAACTGAGGGCAGTAATAAGAGGAAGTGTATCGGACTGGAGAAATGTCACAAGCGGAGTACCTCAGTGTTCAGTTCTTGCACTGGTAATGTTAATTGTCTACATAAACGATCTACCAGATGGAATGCAGAATTATATGAACATGTTTGCTGATATGGTAAGATAATATGGAAGATGAGTAACTTAAATGATTGTCATGCCCTTCAAGAAGACCTGGACAGAATAAGTATATGGAGCACCACTTGACAAATGGAATTTAATGTAATTAAATGCCATGTTATGGAATGTGGAATAGAACATAGACCCCACACAACCTATAAATTATGTGAGAAATCTTTAAATAATTCTGATAAAGAAAGATCTAGGGGTGATTCTAGATAGAAAATACAGATGCAGAAGAAATACAGTATAAGAAAATTCACTTTTGCAAATAGTGGTAGATGGTTAGAACAAGTTAGGTAAGAAGGTGGTGGAGGCCAAAACCGTCAGTAGTTTCAAAAGTGTTATATGACAGTGCTGGGAAAACGGGACACCACGAGCGTAGCTCTCATCCTGTAACTACACTTAGGTAATTATATACACTTAGGTAATTACACATCAGGCTTCCTGTCCCCAACAAAAAGAATTAAGACATTGAAGGTTATTCATCAATGGGGTACTTATAGCTTTTGGTATTGGCATCAATTATTTATATAGTTATGCAAGTAACTTGCAGTAGTGCATTAAGAACTATATGGACAAGTTCTCTGATAACAAGATGATGTACTAAGCAAAATTGAAAAATAAAATGTCTGCAGTGCACTGCAGAAGTCAGAAATGGAGAAAACATTGTAATGAAAATTGGAAATGCCCACTCTGGTGGATCTCATAAATGACCTAGTGAAAAAAGACTAAAATTAGAACATGCTACAATAGTGTGTTGTTTCCATCTTAACAATGAAAAACTTGCAACTAAGGAGATACCATAGGTCACATTTAAGAGCTATGAGGAGACAAATGGTATAGCAAAGATATGTTCATCACATGCAAGATAAAGTCAGAGAAAATAGATAAAGAAGGCTTTCTTAAACCGACGATGAGCAGAACTAGAGATTGGATAATAGATGTATGAAAAAATATGAAATTCAGAGTTATGAAGGATGGATGAAGTGGCTCTGCAATAATTGTGACAAAAGCACTGTAGAGCTCGATGCAAAATGTAACCAAATGTACAGTATAAAGTAGCCAGAACATCGCAAACACATGATAACCCTCTTCCTGTAATTAGTTAAATACAGTTATATAATAATCACATTCACCCACTCACTGTGAATCATGATTTTATTTGCTTCCAGATTTTGGTATATGGCTTATATTGTATTTTACAGTACAGTATTTTAGTGCAAATAGTCAAATAACATGTACATTAAATATAACCTGTCGTCTAATATTTATATGGTTTCATGAATGGTAGGATTTGGTGAAGGATTTGAAGAGTGAACTAAGTGGCAAGTTTGAAGTGGCAATTGTTGCTCTGATGACACCCCTGCCGTTGTACCTGGCCCAACAGATTCACAATGCCATGTCTGGGATAGGCACAAACGAGAGGACACTAGTGGAGATCTTGTGCACCCGAGATAATGCATCTCTAATGTAAGTCTTTGTTTTATTGTGTGTAATTGAGTACAAATATTTGTACTGTGTATTTGTATTGGTTTATAATTATTTAATTATAAATGTTTTCTGTGAGGGGCTCCTATGGTGGCTCCTGGACAGCTCCACCCAATTCCCTCCACACCAGGCCCCTGCGAGTCATTGTAAGTCTGCTTGGAACCAGAGGCCAAACTCTGGCACCCTCTATAGAGATGCAAGGAGCAGGTGATACTAAATCACTCTCACCAACACCATAATTATTACAGAGACTAAACTGCATACAGGCATTCCCCCCTACTACAGACAGGTCATGTTCGGAAAATGTGTGTGTGTAACGTACGTTAGGAATGCAAAACAAGATTTCCCATAGGCACAATGCTATAAATGTGGATACATTCCTGGACCATAAAAAATCCTCACAAAACCAATGTTTTGGGGACATATACGTAATATAAACAACAGAGCATATTATTTACCTTCAATGATGAAGGTATCCTGCTTGTCAAAGTTAGCTCTTTTTGAAGACTGAAAAGGTCTAATTACATTAATAAATAAATGAAACTAGATGTGCATACTGTATTGGGAGTCAACCATTTGTAATTTGTCACGAATAAACGCCTCTCTACCCTCCTTCCATCACCAACCCACTGACACCCAACTCGCCAACAGGGTAAACACGATCTGGTCTTGTTCAAAATTATGCGAGTTTGTAGGTCACTGAGGACTTCTGAGAGCAGCCACTCTTAACATTGTCATCTTCCCAGAAACATCACTCCCATAAAGACTCCCGACACCCAAACCCACCCACTCCCGACATTCTCACCAACTTTCTCCTGAGGCCCCATCTGCTCCCAACACTTACACCCCGCCCCCAATCCACTTTCTCCTGACACCCATCCACTCTTTTTTCCTCCCTGGTACCCTTTGTGTGTTTGTTGGTAACTATAATTTACATGCTGAGGGTATTGCTCTGTATTATAGCAGGATGGTCCCTCAGTGATGCCTAGAGTTACTCCTCATTGTCTTCCTTATACACCTTTATCCCTGTAAATAATATTATCAAACAGCCATATATCAGGCTTGGTAGGAAGGCTATGAGAGCCTATTAGTTACTAATTACTATCTCAATAATTACCTGTGTAGTTACAGGACGAGAGTTACACTCATGCTGCCCTGTCTTCCCAGTACAGTTCTGTGTTATATGAAGCTTTGATATTATTGATGGCGTTGACCTGCACCACCTTCTCACTTAACTTGTTCCAACTGTCATTGTCCTGGTGATCATAGTGGCTCGAGGGAGAATTTGAATGACAAATTCGGAAAGTAATTTTTTGCTATACTCGACATACTGTTTATCATCAGGGCCATCAAGAATGCCTATTATCAACACTATCGAAAGAAGTTGGAAAATGACCTCGGAGGAGACACCTCGGGGGATTTCCGTCGTCTCCTCATATCCATGTGTGCATGTTGTAGGGACGAGACGAACTGTGATCCAGCACTGGCAAACAATCTTGCTCAGCAACTGTATAAAGCAGGTAAGTATATCTTTGTACATACAGTACTCACATTATATCATATTTAAAAGCTGACCACTGTACAGTATTTGGATTAGTGAAAAGTTTTATGAACATTGACAAAATAAAATTACACATTTAATTTTTTTATATATATGTACTCAAATTGAAGTGAAAAGTAAAACATGCTTTTACTTTTTACAAACCCAGATTAGTTACCAATTGGCAAACCCTTAAACAGGGTTATAAACCTATGGAACTGCCTACTTGCCAGAGTCATAAATCCCAAAACTGTTAAATTTTAAAATCCACCTGTTAAACATCATAAGAGCAAATTAGGGGGACCTTTGACAAGCCGCCAGCTTTCTGTCCTCATCGAGACCATTAAGTGTCTTGGTGGCCCTTGGGTAAATTCAGTTAAATACTGGAAAAAGTAATCGGAAAAAGAATTGTAGAACATTTGGGCAATAAATTTTTATAAGAGGCACAATATGGTTTCAGAGAGGGGAGAATCATGCTTAACATGATTAAGTACTTAACATGATGGTCGCAATTCTTTTGACCATGTCGTGGTGTAGTCGACTAGAGCACGCCTGAGAACACTCAGCACATAGGTTCAAACCCTCATCAAGGCTCCTGTTGGATTTGTTCATTGATATACCAGTATATTACGTTAATGTGATTTCTCTGTATTATTATTATTATCTGTACTGTATTATTATTTTTTGTTATATTTATATTATAATTTTATATTATTATTATATATCTGGTATTATTATTATTATTTGGGAAGTTAGCAAACAAAGCCTCGTGTAAGAATCTTGACAAGGAGGCTTTCAAGTCTATACACATTGTTTGTGTGAGGCCATAATGTAAGTTTTACTGTAGTTTACTCCTTAACAGTCATATGTCTATATATATATTTCCTTATAAGAAATTTTGTCATGGCAGTTAATGTATATTGGTATAAATTAGGTGAAGGCAAAATGGGAACCGATGAAGGAGAGTTCAACCGCATTTTGTCTTCCTACTCCTACCCTCTTCTGCGATGTGTGTTTGAGGAATACATGAAGATCAAGGGCAAGAGTTTTGGTGATGCTATAGATGCTGAACTCTCTGGAGATTTAAAACTTGGCATGAAGGCCATCTGTGAGTACCACCTTGTTTTGATTTGTAGGAGTTTCTCGCTAAGCATTTTGTTCACTAATTATTGTTTTGTATACAATGTTATGAGTGACTTTGCAAAAATGCAAATCTTTATGAAAATTGTTTTATAATTCATCGATACTTTTTTCTAGCAAACACGTGTTTTTATTAGTGTTACTTTGACTCAAGATTATAACAATGTAATAACATTAACAAATCGGATATGGTTATGTTGTGGTGTGATTAGCTGTCATTTAAATTTGTAAATATGTAATTGTAATAATTGTGTACATTAAAGCCAATACTGTACAAGTAAAAATATTCTTATTCAATAGATTTTACCATCCAAAACCGTGCTGGGTACTTTGCAAAGGAGCTGCACGATTCGATGGCAGGCATGGGCACCAAAGATGAGGCTCTGATTCGCCTGGTGGTGTCTCGATGTGAAATAGATATGGGTAACATCAAGCAAGAATATCAGAAGCTATACAAGAAATCTCTGGAACAGGACATAAAGGTTAGCCAGCAGGTTGTTGTTTTTGTTAAAATTGTTAAGGTTTTGATACATTTCAGCTTATTAGATACAGTCAGAGTAATGTGTGCAAAGTATATAATTTTAACTGGCATAGAGAGATCTGTTTGTGATTGTTGAGATTATGTGGAGAATAGTTTCAGTTGCTATTCCAGTAGGAAATGATAAGTGGTTTCTGGTATAGTACTAAATTGCAAGGAAATAAGGTAATGAATGCAGATATGGAAGGTACAGAAAGTGGTGGTTATACAATGATGACTTGAGGGTATGGGTTGTTTCTTGCCAGTTCTTACTGAATACAAGTATAAGAGATAAAGTACTGGTGCAACAACATTAAATCCTGTATGAGAATCCAAATCCAGAATTGGCGGTGTTGTGTCCTGCACCTATGCTAAGTCTGCACCAACTCTTCTTTCCTCTGCAGGTGTGGTTTGTTCTGCTTCTGGTCTCCCACCTTTCCCCATGGTTCCGGCTTTGAAGCATCTGAGGGTTTTGGAGTTGGGTTAGGGTTTAGCTCGGCCTTCTCTAATGGCAATCCCATCCTTTTTGGGAGGGCAAATACTCTGCTGGGGTTTCAGGGCATTTGCCTTCACACCCTGTTCTGAACCACTGCCTTGGAAGGATGCCTTTCTGTCATAGGTTTTGGGCGAGGATTTTGGCTCTGCCCCAGAGTCTTCATGGAAGGCTTCCGGAGGAGGTTCCATAGATGCCCATCAACCCATTGTGGACTTTGGTCCCCTCTGCAAGGAGTGGAGAATTTCTCTTCCCCCTACTATGTATTAGTTTTATTACTCAGCTGCTTCCCCCCTCGGGTTTAATTCCAGTTCCTGATCGGTGCCACGGAGTCATCATATTTCTAGAGGATTTCGTCTTTCTGAGTTACACCTTTGGTGGTCCATGCAGATTTGTTCAGCACCTTCTATGAAACTTGGACCTCTCCTCCCCCCCCCCCCTCCCTGATGGACTTTTTGAGTATGGGTCTCTAGGCTTATTGGCCACAGTGTGAGGTTTCATGATCATTCTTATGTCTAACTGACAACCTTCTCTTTTTTTCCTTTGGGGCTTGGCAAAGGACCCACACACTTGATTGATGGGAAGTGCATTCCATCTTTCAGGTGTTCCTGGGCGGTGCTTCTTTCACGCCATTCCAACTGGCTGTTTACTCCACAACTCCACAAGATTGTGGGCAAGTGGCAGCTCTGTGCAACTGCCTGTGCTGTCCAGGATCTTTATTGCAGAGAACCACAGGGCACGTTCACACTTGGCAGTGGTCTTGCATGTTTGGGTCCTTGTGGAGGGACTGAGGAATGGACTAAAATTTGGCTTGGCCTCTTACCTTTTTGTTGATCTCAACGTTTTCACCTCTCCTCTTTCCTGAGGATGTCATTACACAGGTTTAGTCATTGGTGGATTTCTCTTCCCCCTCCATTGATCATTTGTCGTTTTCTTGGGGGTTCTGGCCCCACTTGGGGGCAGTCTGGTAGGGTGGGGACCTTGTCTACTGTTGGTCAAGCCAGGTCTGGTGGGTCTGATTTTTAAGCTGTTCACTTCCAGAACTCCTAGGCGAGTTGTGAAGCCTAGGAGTTCCTCTCCTAGGCTTCACAACTATGCGTTGTGGAAGGATGGTTCCACTTGTAGTTCACATCAGCCCTTTAGCAGTTTGCCCCATTGATGCCATCATACTGTGCCATCGACCTTGTTGTTTTGTGGTCCCACAATTTGTAGGATTTTGGGGTTGTTTTCCTCAGCCTGTGTTGGAGTTGGTTGGTCCCTTCCCCAGTTTTTGGGGTTGGGTCTTATGGGTCAGGAGTCCTTCCTGGCACTTGTGCTGGCTCATTGTGGGTTGGTTGAACTCAAACATGCTTCATTCTGTCTGACCTTCCACATCAACACTTTGACCTAAGTTCACCAGCTACTACAGGCTGGAGCTTGGATGACATCCCTGGGCCTCAAGAATATTCGCTTATTGGCATGTCTCTCTTCATCTCGGGGTCAGGGATTGGGTAGATTTCGTTGTGGGGATTCGGGCCGACCGCTTCAAGGTTTCTCCCTTTGGCTTGATTTTGGCTCCGCTGTATGTTTACAAAAGTAGTTCAGGTTGTTTTAGTCCAGCTAAACCTTTTCAGGGTTCGTGTGTTGGCCTACCTCAACGACTGGCTTAATAAAGCTTAAACTTTGAGTGAAATATCAGTTAACGCATCACCTTGATGAGAAATGTATTGGTATTTACTCGGAATCATAACAAGCCTTGGGTTAGTGCTGTAGAAATATTAAAGCTCATTTATGTAACTACTGTATTCACATGACTAATGTTTAACTGGTTTACTCAAATGTCTTCCAATTGTTACAGGGGGATACTTCTGGAGATTACAAGAAATTACTCCTGGCACTTGTTGAAGGCTAAATGCTTTCATTTCTATATTTTATGAGGTGTTCTACCAGTGAAGGAAGGCTGGGGTGCTGGCAGTGTTGTGAAGAAATTATTAGGTCAAGAGTAGATCACAGAGCAAATAACATTGCACTACTTACAGATTTGATAAGGCTCTGTAAGGAGGGAATTGTTAGTAGAGTTAAGGTCTACTTCCGATCTGGTGGTTATCTAGATGCCTGCCCAAACCTATTTTTAATGGCTTACGATCTGTTTCATTACTCCAGAGTGACATTTCCGGAGACTTCAAGAATATCATCTTGGGCATGGTTGAGGGCTAGGAGTGGTGATCTAAGCTGATGTCCTGCCATCGGAGAGACCAAATGTCTTGATGCCCAAAAACTGTTTAATCATTCGGTTATTATTTTGTAGGTGTTGGTGCTGGGCTCATGTTGCTTGAAACTTGCCTCTAGTGTGTCCATAATATACATACACAGATACTTGCACGCATTTGCATGTGCTCACACACACATGGATGCGTGTTTAGGGAATTGCACTTGTTAACATAATAAATACTGTAAAATGAAATGTCTTAACAATTATACCACATACAAATGCAGGCAGATTTGGCTAACTGGTTTACGAGTGTACTGTACAGTACAGTACAGTATAGTACAGTACAGTACTACATAAAGTTGTTTGTATTTTGTGTGTGTGTGATAATGTTCGGAATTGTAATTTTATTTATTAATGTTATGCATGTGAAGAATGAAGAAACAGTAATTACATGCATGTTGTAGCTAAGATGCATTGTTTACATAAATACTTAGTCTTTTATTGTGTATTTCAGCAAATTTCTAACTTTATTAGCATACAGTATACTACACGTGCCTTTATATTGCTATATACCCATTATTATAGTGTAATGTATCTATAGTATTTTGTAGGTTGCTAACTGTTAATGGTGCTGTTGACAAATAAGGATTATTACCAATTTCAGATAGTTTATGATGCCACACAAAGAACCCTACATTATTCTCACATTGACATGTTTGTTGGACTACATTGTAAAGTCTAGGTGTCCTAAATGCTATACATTAATGCTTAGTTCTCAGTATGAGGTTTATGGTCCTTTTAACTTGATTAGTATTTTGCATTTCCATGGGAGTGTGAAACCTTCTTGAATAAAACGTAACATTGTAAGATATCGGTGATTATTTGGTATAAATGATGCAATTGCTTATGTGATGCATTTTATGCTTGCTGCTCCTAACAGTCTTAGGTAGTGTAGGGTGTTAACAGTGCTTAGGTGTTGTTTAATGCTTGTGTGAAATTGGTCCTCTTGTAAACAAGCATCCCATATACAATTCCCTTGAGCTTGCCCTTGTATCTGTTCTGCTTCTTCATTTATAATATGTTAACCCTTGCACTGCTCTAAGTGCCATATGCAATTTTTCCCTATTTGATTTCTTAACTATTTTTGTTATGTATTCCCTGATGTAATACTTTTAAATGACTTCATAGTTTAGGGGGTTAAGCATGTCTGTATTTGAGCCATTCAATGCAGTCTAAAGGTACCTTCTTGTCTCTAGCTTGCTTTATTCTTAAGGGAGCATGTTAAGGATGAACGTATTACAGAATTTTGCTTGAATAATTTTTTTTAACCTTTCTCATGATGATAAATAAATGTTGTTCAATATATTTTTTCAACGTTACATTTAAGTTTGCTTTGCATTGTCTTGAGGATCTGAAGTGTTTGTAATTCTTTGAACATACAGTATTATAAAATTTAGATATTTATTGAGTTATGAAGCTTCAAGATTATTTAGTTAGGAATTTTGACCATATTTCTAGCAAGCATCAGAACAAGCAGTTATAATACTGACCTCTTGTCAATATTGACTTGTATTCACTACCAAATCAGAAGTACAGTACTTAATTGGGTGTAGTTACAATATGTATAAGTTTACAGAATGTAGCCAAACATTGCCTTAGGAATTATTTATAAAACTTTATTTTATAAAACATTTTGTTACAATATTTCCTGTTCTTCCACCACTTGTTTAATGTACCCAAGTACTTACATTTCTTATACACTCTCATATAAAGGGTGTCAATAAATTGATATAAAATGTGTTGGATGTTTTATTATTACAGATGTCTCTCCAAGTTCAGGGCACGGTAAGTGTTTATACATGAGTGACTACGGTGGAGTGAGGAGCTAGCTCCGTCCCTTCTCTCTTCGAGGGTTGTAAGATCAAATTTCCCTAATCCAAGGGTTCTCAAATTAAGGTAAACATACTCCTGTTACTCTGTAATATTTAAATATTCAAAGGTTGCTCTAGTTAATAAGAGCCATTTCAGAGCTGGGTTTCCCCCACAGTGTGGACCTGTCCTTTCCCCACAGTGAGGACCTGACCTACCCCCCACAGTGAGGACCTGACCTACCCCCCCACAGTGAGGACCTAACCTACCCCCAGTGCGGACCTGTAGGGAAAGTAATTTAAATTTGAGGACATATCCCTAAACAGCTTGAATGACGGCTTAAAAATAAGACGCATGTCAAACAATATAAATCTCAACAACACAACATTTTCAGCCTCTGAAAATAGTAGCTATAATCTGTACACTTCTTCAACCTACAGACTATAATACTGGTATAAAAATGCTAATACTGTATCTCCTCCCACAGATTTTCTGTTATTAAGCATAGCTGCCCAAGTATGTAAACTCTAAAATAAAAGTTCTTGATATCCTTCACACAACACTATATCTCATGCATGATATCCTTCACACAACACCGCAAAACTATTGCTCTTGCATTAAAGACAGCCACACCATACTTCTGTATGTCTTTGAAAGACAGCCACATCATACTACCTTATCTAAACAGTATTAAAAGAAATAGATCATACTATATCCATAATGTAATAGAGGTTAAACATACATATATATTATACATACACACATATACACAGTATTAATAAAATACATTTTAGATTGTGACATTTTAAAATTTAGAGACAAAAAAAACTATGAATTCTTAACACTTTCGCCCGGGCATGACGCAGCATTGCGTCATCCGTTTACTGTCGGTAATACCGGGGATGACGCAGCATTGCGTCATCCACTTTAAATAATCGCCAAAAATCAGGTTTTTATCGATTTTTTTGGGACTGGTTTTAAAATGTGCGCCGATTTCTTCCCATTTTCTTTGTTGAGCCTCGTGGCCCTCAGGTGGCTTGGCACACGCCGTGGGCCCATTGTTTTCGCTCCACTGTTGTGACCAATGTCGCCTCCCCTCGCATCTCAAACGTGTGAACATTTCGGCTATTTTCCGTGGCTATATTTCTTACTGCGGCTTTAGAAACTATCTACCCTTACTCCACGATGGATAGTGATCATGAACAAGGCCCTTCCAAGAAGAAAATTGCGAAAGAAAGGCTTGAAAAGGGAGGGAATTGGGAGTGTAGCTGGAAGGCATCTGAGCGCTCACTCGCGGCTAACGCATGGCCCGTCTTCAACTCGTCGGCGGTTGGAGCGTGACCAGGTTTTATATTTTATATGCTAATGTTCCTCTAGAGAATTCTATTGTGAACCCATTGAGACCAAAATGAAAGACCTAGGACAAAAATTGAGGTGACCAGAGTGAAAATAGTGAAAACATTTTATCGCGTTTGGGCGCTCCTGGGTAACTCGTTCGCACTTTCTCTGTTTGTTGCGGGTAATTAGCCGGGCTTTTGTAGTTTATATGCATTTAGTGCTGTAGAGAATTCTATTGCGAACACAATGATACCAAATTTAATCTCGTAGGACGAGAATTAAGGTGACAAAGTTGAAGAGAGTATACACTTTTCAGAATTTACGTACGCTCCCGTGACACCCTGGGTCCTATATCGCACAGTTGAGGGGTGGCGCGCGGGGTGAGCGAAAGTGTTAAAATGGCTCAGCATTTGGAGTAAATATAGCCAATTTACTACAAACTGGATTGTATATAAAGTAGACAATGAAGGGTGTGTGAACACTAACAGAATGGTCATGAGGCACTTAACGGAGAACGTAATCTGCTGTGAGAAGAAACAGTTGGTTTCATTTTATGTGCATGGACATATATGCAAGTAGGCATTGAGCTATATTTAAGATGAGTTGAAATATACACTCAAATTTATCTGAATATAGTGAAAATAAATATTACCAAGCCTCACTGGAGGCGAGTTGGATTACTTACAAAGCATAGCTGGAGACGAGCAAACAAGACACGCAATGAGAAGACGAGCAGGAGACTTGAACGGGCTTCAATGAACCTTAATCTGGAGGCAAGTCCAATGTGTTACTTACTTTTATAAAGGAACTACTGTCACAAAGAGATGGTTGACTGGCAGGCACTTTGAGTCCCATTGAAGTAAGATCAATTTTATATGAGCTGTGTGTTTTGGAGTGATTTTGAGCTGGGATAATCCGAATCTGTTGATGAAAAATGCCGAAGGTGTGCAAATACCTATAACTACACATTATGATTAATTTATATCAGTTGTACTTCTAATTATCTTATATCAGTTTTGTGATATAAATTGTACCAGTATCTACTTCACTGTCCTAATGGTAAACCACACTTTGTTTTTCCAGTACAGTATATATCACCTTTTAAATTGTAAGCTAAATGTTACTCACTTTATGCCAAAATTGTAAGTTTGATTTAGACAGCTGTACACCTATTTGTTATGAACAAAGTTTCTGTGGTGATAATAACAATGTCTACGTGTTATGCTGTTATTGTGACTCTCATATGTAATTAATGTACTGTAATTTTATATGTAAACTTTGATAGGTGCGATTTGTAGTGGGTTACACTGCTGTCTTGTAATTAATAGCACAACTTGTATATGAGCTACACTGCAGTCACTTAACAAATTATGCAACTTGTTTGTGAACTACACTGTTGTCAGGTAACAAATTGTACAACTTGTATGTAGATTACACTACTGTCACATAACAAATTGTGGAACATGCACATGGATTACACTGCCGTCACGTAACGAGCCATGCAACTTGTACATAAACTACACTGCTGTGTCACTCGAGACACCATCAAGATAACACATTACAAAAACATACGGTACCTCATTATTTTATGGTGTGATGCTAGACTAACATTTCAGCTACATTTAACAATTATGCTGCTTCTTCAGGTAATATCTTCCTAATATGTAAATTGGATGGAATCTAGTTTTAGGTTAAGACAAGTCTAGTTATACTCCATTGTATACATAATTTTCTCGTCATTTTAGAAGATAGCTGCTTTGACAATCTTTATTTCTCCTGAACACTTCTGTATGTATTTCACTTACAGCACTGTAAGTGTTCTCACCTTACTTCAATATAGATTCAATAACATTTAACAGTTGCAATTTATATATTCAAATATATATTGTATAACTGTACTACTGGTGTATGGATAAAGATTTTTAAATCACAGGAAAAAATTGTAGATAATATGGAATACAATGCCTTGTGTAGCTCTAAATACCTTTACTTGTAATTAACATTTTGTCATTACAGTATTTACAAAAGATTCGATAAATTAATCAGTGTTTGGTGAAACACCCTCTTGAATGTTATAAATTCTTAAATAATAATACAGCTACACAATTGGCTGATTGCAGTGAGCTATTAGAAATATTTTTCATTGATGTTTGATTTGCAGTAGGATCCCCACTCAGTCCCATCCTGGCATATTTATTAATGTGCTTCAGAATCTTGTGATAAGATTTAAAGACAATTTACCTGGCAGTGTCATTTGGCCTGGATATGCAAAGTGGCACCAAGCCGGGTGACTGTTTAGCACTGAGTCACAGGATATTCAGAAGCTCCTAAATATCACTCAGGATGCCAATATAAGAGAAGAAAGACATAGGATGAACGGTGCAAAAGGCATTGGATTCATCGAGGGACAAATGACTCAAGGGGACATTCGAAAAACAAGACTTATGATCGCCTGGAATGGACGAGTGGTAAAAGCAAGAATATAGTACACGCATCAGAAATAAATCATTAACTACCCCATTTCAGAATTTATTTTAATAAGAGAATGTGCTTAATTTCAAGTTTTTAGGAAGCCAACCTGTACACATTATATGTACATTTTTACTCACGGCAATACAAGAACAAAGTGGGTTCATAGTGGCAGCTTGTTCTTGAGCAACTAGGATATAAAAGACAATTTTTTTTTTTTTTTTTTTTTTTTTTCATAGATCTATCAGAATAAGGTACTGTACCTACCAAATTTAATTGGAAAAGTAATCAGAGCATGGTATATCTTAATTGATCACCAGGACAGTACATACTCTGAATAAGGTGGGCCATCAGGACATCACACAAAAACAATCATAATTCCCAATAGTTCAGTCACTGATAAAATTTCTCAATTATGACTGCAATTGGCTTAAATGTATAGGTGATAACTTCTCTCACTATCAACAAAATAATTGACCTTTAATGGCTGAATTTTATTACACACACTAATCAATTAAATGGGAGTGTCTTTCAATATGCACTTCTGTTATTGTGGTTTTCAATAATTCAAAAGCAGAAGTGAATTATACTAACTACCACTACTACACAGTTGTTATAAACATACCAAAGTATACAGTACCTAATTACCGACAAAATATCTATAAGCATCGCTGGCATCCTAAGGTTTAAGTGTAAGACACTGAAGTTTCTGAGAGGTTTAATGAAGGTATGTATAGTGTGTTTCTTGCAGCATATGTACAGCAATAAAATATGTAGGAGAAACATTTATCAAAAAATAAATAAATTAAACAACCCTAATGTGATTATGGAATATGGAAAACAATGCTTTGGTCAATCACTAAAATTAATATTGGCCATACAGTTAACACTATAGCATTCGGTGAATGCCCATGAAGTCCATAATTTTTCTCTTGAGTCCGAGTCGTGGACACAAGTGGCATCCATCATATTAAAATATTTGTTAAAAATTTAAATTATATCTGAGCAATCTGGGAGTGGTTTTAAAATGAGTGCCTTTAGTTTGCGCACAATTTGATACCAAAATTGATGTCAGAACACTGGAAAGATTATAAATACTTTTTTGGCCCAAATTTTAAAATATTTATTAAAATCCTACTTATTGTGCTATTATTATAGGACTAGTTTTAAAATGCGTGTCTTTAGATTGCAAACAATTTTATACCAAAATGAAATGTGTAACACAAAAATTGGTGTCAGAACACTGAAAAGAGATAAGTAATTTTGTGATGATGAGCGTCCAAAATTTAAAATATTTGTTAAATTTCCATTTATTGCTCTTATTATGGGACTAGATTTAAAATACGCGCCTTTATATTGCGAACAAATTGATATCAAAATGAAAGACGTAACATGAAAATTGATGTTATCAAACTGAATGGGTATTTACATTAGGTTGCAGTGTGCCAATTGGTGTTCATTCATGGGTAGCTTTGGGCTTTACTGCGGGGAGTCACGCCGGGCTTTTGGACATTATAACAAACGATGTAGCATGAGAATTAAGGTGAGAAAACTGAAACGAGTATACGCATTTCGGTGTCGCCCCATGCTCACCCACACCGCCAGGAGCATGACATCAAAGTCTGTGGCGCTCATGCTCTGCGCGCGAAAGTGTTAAATGGGGAATGGCTATGTTTTTGGTATTCAATAATTATATATTAAATCACACATGTTAGGAATCAGTTATGTACTAGCAACACAGCAATCTTTTTATGGTTATGTTTTTTTCCAAATTGCAGGTCTTTAAGTATTTTTATTGAGATTATATGTTATGAAAGTCAAGGTCACTAGAGATGATGGTCCTCATGGCTTCCTGTCCCTGTCGAGGCCACTAAAGAAGGTGGCCCTCAGGGCTTGCTGTCCCTGTCGAGGCCACTAGAGAAGGTGGCCCTCATGGCTTCCTGTCCCTGTCGAGGCCACTAAATATGTTGGCCCTCGGGTAAATGTCGACACCGAGCTTGGCCCAGAATGTGACCACAGCGGTTATAAAAGGAAGTGGGTAATTTCCTACGTGTAGGAAGAAGACAAAGACATCGAACATGTTTAAATGTTGAGAAAAGTTTCCTCAGCTACATAAGGCAAATGTGTTCCATGTTGTATGTATTAATAATAGAGGAAGTGCAGCACTTATAAATATACAACATTTTAAGATATACAAATATAAATTTATATAGTTACAATTAACCATGATTAAATAAAATAAGAGATGCAGTAGATATAAATTCATAATTGTAGTTACATATTTTAAGTATAAAATAATATACTCTACGTGCTACTTGTATACTTCTCTCTACAACAGTGAAAAAAATCTTATCCAAAGAAAATTATGAAAAAGTATGAATCAATACATCTTTAACTCTTATAATGCTCCAGATGCAATAGGTGATTACCTTCTGTGCAAAAATCACAATATGTGATTTTTTCCCATTTGATTAATTAGCTGTTTTTTGTTGGGTGCACATCGATCATTTAAATAGCTGAGCAGTCCAAAAGTTAATAAAACAAAAATAGAGATGTTGATACTATGGATCCATGAATGCCAATACTCATGAGATTTCTCGCACTAGCTCTGGTGTCGGGCTCCAGGATCGATGCTGGACTGCAATCTTTGCTTGATTTTCTGATGTTTGTACTTGCGGTGTTTATCTTGAATGGAACAAAAATGTGACAGAAGTTCATCAAAGTCCATATTTATGGCATGATGACGTGTCTCTACCTTGGCATGGGTGTGTCTGTAACAAAGGAAATGCTAAGTCAATATGACTTGAGGTGTGTGTGGGTGAGTGCATGTAGAAAAAGAAAGGTTTAAGTGTGTAATTATCTATCACAGAAACATACAAAGAATGTAGTTTAATAACATTTGTGATTTTAATTATTATTATAATTAAAACCATAAATGCTATTAACAACAACTACAATAGAAGAATAATTAAAAAGCAACAATGAATGTAATGAAGTGCCTTTCCGCTTTCCAAGGCTTTCCGGTAGAGCCTTGGTGGCTCCCTGAAGCTATCTTACTGAGAGTACCTTCCCACTATTGAGTCAAATCAGTCATAGGAGTCCTGTTGGCCTACCGGGGAACCACAGCCAGAGCCTGGCTCCTCTCACAGAGCTGCAGGGAGCTGGGGATTGTTACCATCACCATCATTGAGAAAAAATCCAATAAATAGGTGAAGCAATACAGTCAATTGCATGATTCACAAAATGAAGCACTTGGGTGGATATGTTTGCATCCACTCTCATACTCTTAATTATTACCCATGCTCTATTTCCATGATTTAATTTCACTGGACAAAATTGTAATTTTATCCTATCATATGGGCGCCTGGTGGCTGAGTGGACAGCACTCAGGGCTCGTAATCCTGGGGACCGAGGTTCGATCCCCCGGTAATGGCGAAAAACAAATGGGCAGCGTTTCTTTCACCTTGATGTCCCTGTTACCTAGCAGTAAATAGGTACCCTGGAAGTTAGACAGATGTTACGGGCTGCTTCCTGGGGGGTGGGGGTGGGGGGGTGGAGAAAGGAAAAAAAGTTAGTAGTTAGTAACAGTTGAGAGGCGGGCCAAAAGAGCGGAGCTCAATCCCTGCAAGCACAACTAGGTGAATACAACTAGGTGAATATATGATGGATAAATACCAGAAGAACCTGCCTATATAGAGATTTCACCACATCTAGCTTATTTCCTACATTTTGGCCTCAAAACTTCATTTTCTACGGTAACAGGACTCATACCTACTGTATGTGAATGAAAACTGGGTAAACTCAAAATGAAAATGAACCATAGAATTTGTTTTTTTATATCCTCAATGGTTTTCCCAAGGCTCCAACACTTTCTCCTACTATTGCATCCATCTACAAAAATAATTTAAAACATGACTGGAGCCATATTAAGTGTGTTACTATTCACACCCTAACATTTCCCAAGCTCTATGAGATTTTTAGCGAGCGAAACTTCAGTTTCAACTGATCATATGATGGATAACTAACGAGAACTTGACTGTAAAGAGGCTTCAATCTCACTGCCTGTATTTCTCAGGATCCAGCCCTTAAATTCTTATTTTTTAAAGGACGGGCCATGACCTCAAAATTATGTAAATGAACCAGGCCCATCAACTTTCCTACAGGCTTGTTAACTATGGCCTTACACACACAGCAAACCCACACATTATGCACTTCACTGAACACTTGTTTGGCTGGGAGGGTAAGTATATCTGGCCTGAAAAGTGTGTATTGCAACTAGATATACACCGAGGTGAGGTTGCAGTGTACGAGTAAATTTTTTTATAATAAAAACATGATTTCTTTACAATGTCTGGTTGCAATTGGATTAAGGTAACTATGACTGGAACAGATAAGAGAACTCCAAAATGAGTAATAACATTTTCAGACTAAATAACTACATACTTGAGAAGATGAGCAGGAGGAACGCAGTTAAGACGACATCGCAGAAGTGTGAATGCATCACTCTGAGGAAGTAGCATGAGAAGTCCATAGAGTGTCTCCACCAGTGCTGAGTGACCTACTGGGTCCAGCAATTGTAGACGCAAATCTAAGAAAGGAATAAGGAATATAAATTGTTGAAGCAATAGACCAAAGAGAAAAGCAAACAAAATAATAACAATCTAAAGAGAATGGATTTAATTTGTGAATTCTACTTATCATTGCTAGGGATAGAAAAAACAGAAGCCCACAAAGAACTGTTAGGCAGTTTCAGTATGTCTCCTATAACCATAATTAAATTCTAATAAACAAAACAATCCCTAAAGCAAGTTGAAATGAACCCTGAATCGTACTGCTAACACATCACGACACAATCTTGCAGTGATGAGCATTTGCTTTGTTTACATCAGGGTCACTGTTTCCTTCAAGCAGTCTCTTGTTTTGTGCATCTAACTTATCTTGTGTTTTTCCTTGGCTTCAGGTAGATCTCGGCTCCCAAGTATCCCTCACCTCATTGAGTGAGGTGAGGGCTACTTGCTCTGGCTTCTGGCCCTGGCTTCCACTAGGTCAGGGTGGGTCTCGGAAGCCCGGTACAATCTCTTAAGTTTGGCTATACCAGTGTTTAATTCTTGCATTGTGCAAGGGGTTACAGTCATTACAATACTGTATCTGTTTGCACACAGAAAATCCTGTATTGTTAAAAATCATTCCTTAATAATAGGAACAATGCCAATTCTAGGTCATTTTTCAACATGGCAAATGTTTACTGATGTGTTACCTAAACATCATATAATGTTACACACATTGCAAAGGTTAACCACTATACTGTTGCAAGTGCCATATGCAATATTTTCCCATTTGATGTAGAGTGTAGTAATTTTAACTTGCTGCACCATTTAGGGGTTAGGCTTTGTCTACTTGTCTGGCTGACCATATGAACATCTTCAAGCACACACTGAAGGATATCGGTCTAATATTACATGAAATATTTAACCTGTACAGGTATTATAATCCTACAAAATAATACTATTAATAAAAGATACAAATGTTATGGTATTAATGTCAACAGAGTAAATCTCCAAGAAATCCATTATAAGATTTAATAGATACTGTACAACCATAATCTTTTAATCACTGGAAATTGCATTACACAGTAATGAGAAAAGACTAAAGAGCTGGGATAAATACTTACAAGTAAATATTGGAGATTCTATTAACTGGACCAGCTTGTCCACTTCCACTAAGAAGTCTGTGGTCACTTCAATATCACCACTATACGCCATTAAGGAAAGATAACATTAAGAAGCATTATGTATTTGATATATATATACTCATAGTGACTGATATGAGGAGGAACAGGTGGGGAAAGGGAGGGGGGGGGGGTATATAGGTAATTTATACTTATATTCAATAATATAAATTAAATGAAACCTCCCTACTTCATTACTTAAAGTACATGTACATTACTTTAAATTGGAAAGACATAAAGATACACTTCAAATGCGAGAGGAAACACTCGGTGGTCAGCACAATTATTTTGAATTCGCGGGACTCAGACAAACTGTGTGCATTACATTTATTAACCCTTAGACAGCAGTTATCGTCATAGGATGATTCATGAGGTAATGCGGTTATCATCATATGAAGATTTAAACAATTATTGTCAGGATTTTATATGATGCAAATAAGCATTTATGGTAATAGCTCTTATGTGGATGGAATGGCATTTACCTTGATCTATGACAAAAATCCAGCTATCGTTTCATGGTTACATTACTACATGAATGCAGTTTTCATCATAAATATTACTAAGTGAATGCAGTTATTGTCACTGTATAAAATTCCATAATAATTACTTTATATGTACTGTATACAATGACGTTCATATGGTTTTTCACAACTCTATATGGTTGTAATGAAGTATACCAAGCAAACCAATCATCACTGGAAGCATGATAATGATATTGGATAATGCGCTATGCATTATCTACTAAGAACCTGCCGTCACCTGTGGGTGGCGCATGTTTAGTAATGGCCACCCCCCCTCCCCTCCCTCAGAGTGCAGGTTTAGGAGTACCAGTGTATATAAAGCATCGGGAATAGAGACATACAATATACAGACAGGAGACATAACTCACATACAAAGTAAACACAATTACGCAAAATCTAATACCCATTTTAAAAGGATACAAGGCATGAACAAGAGTTGCGGCATGTTCGTAGTTCTGGGTGAGAAGACAAATAGTGAGGGTGGCCACAGAATTATGACTCCATGAGCGGTACAAGTTCACAAACAACTGGCAGCTTTCCTGAAATAACAAAAATTAAGCCTATTAATTGAAGAGAAATATGTGTTTGATGTTTTTCAAAACTGATGAATTATATTAATGGAAATACAAAATGCTCAAAATCAGTTGTTATTAACACTAGGAGTTACAGTACTTCATATATTTTTTTAAATACACACAAATACTGTACACACTACAGCACAGTATTAGTAAAAATATTGTATGCAGAATTTACACATACAAAATCCAAAGAATCTGATTTATATCTACAGTAGATTTCCAATTTTGTGTGGTGGGAGTTTTTGTGATTTACTGGGAAAAGATTAGATATATTTATTGGTTTAGTGCAACAGTGAATAACATTATTCATATCCTCCTATTTCCCATGCTCTTTAGGTTAATTTTACTGAGCAAAATCTTAATTACTGCCTCCTGTTCATATGATGAACATCCACAAAGAGAATCAAGTGTTGAATGTAGTGAAACTCTTTTTCTGGTATAGTGGGTTCTGAGAGTTCTTCTACCTCCCAAGCCTTGCCCGGGCCCCTCAGTAGATTGCCAAGCCAAGTGATAGTCCAGTCAAGCCTTCAGGGAGATGCACTGGACCTTCGAGGCCCACCCTTGCCCACTGAGGCTCCAGGACTAGAATGTGGCTCTTTCTACAAGATACCATGATGATCATCAACGTCACATGTAGTTATTGACTATGGCTACGTTACCGGTGTTGAGAGATCTTTCAGTTGTATTCTTAGAGAGAATAATTCCTTTGATGTGAGAAGAATTGAAGATAATGTCTGCACCATTTCTGATGCAAAGGTAAGATTTTCCTCCTTTTGTAGTAACTCAGCCAGTGTCTGATAGATATCTTCTGCATTGAGCATCACACAAAGTTGTCTGAAATGAAAACATAAATAAGACATTTTTCTCAGGCAATCTGTTAATTAACATATCCATATTAATCTCATTGCTTCATTTTAAAATTTCATATTTAATTTCCTCAACCCTATCACTCACACCACAACTCTCACATACTTCATCACTGCTATCTATACCCATCCCACATCTCTCACATACTTCATCACTACTATACCCATCCCACATACCACAAGCAGTAATGAAAGCTTGAGTAGCAAGGCAACAGCTCTTGACGGTCAAATAATGGAATTATGCAAGGATAAGTTACTCTGGGAAGCTTAAGGAAGAGTCCTGGAGGAGAAACACAGTATAGTATTAAAAATAGCTTTTGAAGTTAACTCAAATCTTGATGTTCGTGAATACGATAATTTAGGGAGGGAAATTCAACAGAGAAAAAGAACTCTTGTCATTAAAGAGGAGGTTACAGAGGATATAGAAAAAGAGCAAGAAAAATATGCAACTAACTTATGCACAAGTGGCCAGAGAATAATAAATTTTAGAAGCAGCAGCAGCTAGGGAAGCCAGAACCTGCAGCAGCCACAGAAGTGTAGACATCAGACAGGAAGTCAGAAATGAACTGGCATCAAACTTGCTGATACAAAACATGGTTGATAGAAGTACAGTAAGTCCTTAATAATTTTTGGTTGCAAAGGAAATAACATCTAGGTCAGAAAGAGCCATAGAAAAAGTAAAAGTAGTAAATAAAATTGTTAGGCTAGTGGAATGTCTTACAACTAAAGATAATATCTGTGACTACAGAAGAATTGGTAAGAATTAAAAAAAAGGAAAAGTTCATCCCTTAAAGTCTGACCAAAATGGAGCTAAACAGGTGGAAGAAGTACTCAGGAATGTTAAGAAATTGCAAAGTCATGAGGATGGGAAAGTATGGTCATTAAGATGAGATCTTTCATGGGTTCAGAACAGGGTGCTTCTGCCTCTCACAATTGCTAGACCACTATGACATGGCCTTAGATGCCATGGAAGACAAACAAAATACACAGTTTCCACAAAAGCATTTGACATGGTGTTAATGCACACAAAATAGCAGAAAAGAAATTACTAGCAAAGTAGGAAAATGGATCTTTAACTTCCTAACATACAGAACCCAGAGTGTAATAATCAACAAATTAAAATCTGAATCCTCCACTGTGAGAAGCTCAGTCCCCCGAGGTACTGTGCTTGCTCTGGTAGTTTTCTTCATCCTCATATCAGACATACACAAGAATACAAACTATACTACTGTATTATCCATTGCAGAGGACACTAGAATTTTCACGAGAGTAAAGACAATATGGAGGACACAGCAATCCTCCAATATGTTGTTAATCAAGTCTTTCAATGGGCCACAGGAAATAAAATAATGTTTAATGAGGATAAGCTCCAATTACTGCACTATGGAAAAACAAAAACATCAAAGCAGAAACCACATATAAAACACAGTCAAAGCACACTATTGAAAGAAAAAGCAATGTAAAAGATTTAGGAGTAATCCTGTCAGAAGACTTTTCTTACTTTTAAAAAACACAGCAAAGTTGCTGTCACAACTCCAAGAAAACTGACAGGTTGGATAACAAGAACCTTCCAAACAAGAGATGCCATGCCAATGATGATGTTTTTAAGACATTAGTGCTCTCTAGGGAAAGGGAGAACATTATCAAGGGGAACATGTTATAATAGAAAATGTTATAAACCAGCACCTGCTTGTTCACCCCCCTCCTCCCACTCCTTTGGGGGGAGGAGGGGGGCAGACCGCAGCACACAAACAATAGCTGCAAAAACAAACTACATATAACTAAGTACAGTATAACTAAAAACAAAGAAAGAATCTACCCAAACATCACTAAATATCATTACATAAGACTAAGTATAAAACAGGAGGAGGGGATACAAAACAAGTCATTGGAAGGTAAAACAAAAATCGTTTACCTTATAATAAATGGTCCTCTGTCCTCTAAAAGGTTTCTTTCCGTAGCAAATAGATGAAGAAGGTTTTGGAGAAACCTCGTGAAGTATTCATCAAGGTTGTTTTTCTCGTCACTCTCTAATACAAATAAAAGAAAAAGAAAAAAGAAAATAACATGGTTATGCTGTCACACTTTTGCTAGGGGTAAGAATGTCACTACTTTTTTGAAGGATCTGGGTTCTAAGCTAATTGAAACAAAGAGACCCTAGAGCCACCAACTTCCTTTTAAAACACCTCTGCATGGCAATACGTAGGGGAAAAATGCACACCACATTCAGGGTTCTTGCCTGCCATCTGAGGAACTGGAGCAACTTGACGGTCTGTAACAAATAACTTTGTACACATACTGTATATGAAAACTGACCTTTGAGTATCTTCTATGTACATACCATACTGTATTACAAAATATCTTTTGACTGTTTTCCAGAGAGGACATTTTAAGTGCTTTGAGATAGTGTCAGATAATTACCCTCCTCAAGTAAGGTAATACTTCTTCAGAGCAGTCATCATCAAGTATAAAACAGACAACAGTCTAGTTTCATGTCCAAGTGTCTACTATTATGTGATTAATTATGATATATTCATTTGTGTAACACGATCATGTGTGATGGTCAGCCCAGAACATTGTACCTCCATGGATGGTGCCACAGCTAGTTTATTTGCCAGCCGACGGTTGCAAGATGATTCCCCCCACTCGTGCCACTGTCTCGACGTCGGGATCAGGTGTATATATATACGAGTAACACGAGCACCGACTTTCAGTCTGCTCAGGTGCATCACATGGGTCACATTTAGCTCTTAATGACTTGCCAAGGCAGCTCAAGGGTGTTAAGTATAGTATCTTGCAGCTTAATTCTTATTACCTTGTTGTACACTACAGGTATATGTTTCTGTGTCCGAGTCAGAGACTAACCACCAGTAAGCGTTCAAGATTTTTAATTTGTTTTCAATGTTATTATTTTAAGTGCACATAGCCAGTTGTATTACAGGTGTTAAAGAAACTTTTATTTTGTTTTATTAAATTTACTTATATTTTTTAAAGTTTCTTCTGACTTTAACCCTGTTTCTCATAAGTCACATTGCAAAGGTCATGTGTTTTATTTTATTTTATGGAATGTGAGGATACCATCTGCTAGGTATAACCACAGTACCTCCCTTCATGGAACAGTCATGATTAATTAGGTGTCTTTGTGTTTATGCATGCAGCATGTGTTCTCAGTATTCCTTCTATTCCAGAAATCTCTTCTGCCTGAAAAGGGGAGGCAAGTATCAAGGAATATTCAAAGTGGGAAATACAAGCGATTAGAAAATTATGATCACTGTGGTGGCATCCTTAGATATGTAGGTTCCCATAAAAGATCTTATCAGTTTCCTGGCTGATGCTCGGTTTGCTCTGACCAGTTATATAAACGTTAAGTTAGCCGACGTCATTATTCCTAGACTTTCTGTATTGTTTCTATTTTATGAAGAAATCTGATTGCATCTTATATCCAATGTCTAGTTTAAGTTGTTAATATTTTCCATATCTGAGTACTGTAGTTGGAATTTATCACAGTTTAAAATAACATTATTGTCTATTGAAAAGTGGAACACTTTATACTTGACTGTAGTTTTCAGTCTTATATCAAAATAATTTTATTTATGATGATTCTGGTACTATCTGCAAAGGATAAAAGAGCTGTGGTTTGTATTTTTGTTTGGTTGATATGAGAGTGAGAACAAAGTAGGTACCAACGACAGTGCCTTCTGGTACACAGCTTTGCACTATGCTAGAAATGAATGTTCTTGTGTTTACTATTACCTTTTGTGACCTGTTTGACAGAAAACTGAATATAGTTATACAAACCTATGAATGAGGACTGACCTTGTGTAGTTGCAACAGGATGATGGTTGGTGGGAGAGGCAATCTGAGCAAGCACCTGGATCACCAAGAGCACCACCTCATCAGATGGGTCAGAGAGGGTCTTGAGAAGTGCATGAAATAACTCTTCTAAGTAACGACACATCTGAAAAAAAAGGAAGTTGAGAACATTGAAATGGTATTTCTGAGTGGTGTCCTGACTGCTACAAGACCACACCATAAAACACACCAGGCTACTCAACCTCTTACTTTGTCACGACAGGGATCTTTGTTAATGGTTTTGCCACATAGCTAAGGAAGAAAGACAGTAGATACAATTATAAATCCACCACCAAATGACCAGCATGCCATTAGGAGAAAAACTAAATTCTCCATGCCTCCTGTGTTTGAAATTTTGAATATGTAAGGAAAAGCAATTAGCATTCTGATAACCACTGAAAAGACCACTAGCCACTGCCTCTGATCATCACTAGATGACATCAAGCAATAAGTCAACAGAGGTGGGAGAGCTAGCATCCCAATATGCATGGGAAAATGAGGATTAAAGGAGTTGAATTCATTACTGCTCAGAAAAATAGTGCTTCAATATTCTCAGTGCCTTGTTTCTGAGCTGAGGCCCTTTGTGGATTTGTTCATTTGATATATCAAGTTATTGTGATTTCTGTGTGTGTGTTGAAGTAAAGGCATAGAGGTAGAACATCTGGTTGACAGAGCCCGGGTGCATGGGTGAAATTGTGTGAAACCCCGATTGGGCTTCAGAGAAGCTTTGGGATCTGAGTGATGATGGTAGCACTCCAGGGTGCAATTCTTTTGACCATGTTGTGGTACAGTTGACTAAGGCACATCTGGGAACATCCCGTACATAGGTTCGAATCTTCATCACGGCCCTTGTGGATTTGTTTCAGGTATCCTGGAGCAACTGTTGTGGGTTGCATCCTGGGTAAGAATTGGTTTAGGTTTCCTGCCCCTAAAAGTGGTTAACCATATATACATTTGTTACACCTATCAAAATAACGATTTCTTTTTATCTAAAGATATTACTTACCTTATTGGGAATTTTGTTATGAAGGTGATAAATCCATTTAAGAACAGCTGTCTTACAAGAAACTGGAGTATTACGTAGCTGATTACGGAGAACTTCCATTACCGAACACAGATCAAGTCCCTCGCACTCATGCTCTGGAAAGGAAAAGTTACCATCTTTTTTAAGATACTATAGCTGGACTGATGTTATTACTATTAAATGGGTTAAGCTAGTTAAAAGGCACACATGGCTTCTCCCAGAAAACCAGAGTTGAATGTAATGAAATGCCAATTTCTAAGCAAGCCCTGGTGGCTCTCCAACCAGCCCATTCTTCTGAGAGTTCCCAGTGTCAATAAACTGATGTACTAAACTAGCCTGAATCTAACTTAAATGAGGCCCCACAAATGGAAAATAGGATATGTCAATTTTGTGAGCTGCTATGGTTTTTAGCACACCAGTTTTTGACCTTATGGAATGTATATGCCAAAATGCAATATACTATTAGGAGAATGGGTTGCCCTGACACCCTACCTCTCTCCAGGTCGTCGGGGTATTGTTTACATCTACAGTACCACAGAACTGAGGGTGGAGATGCTGGCTGGCTGTGAGCTGCCTCCCCTTTCCCCCAAATGTGTAGGAGAGGTGGAGTGAACGAGCTCACATTAGTTTCAAGAGATTTTGATAGTTTGTTTACATTGTCGGGAATTCTTTCAGTGGTTATTTGGCTGTGGACTCTATTGAAGCCAGCAGTGATTTGTTTTGTCTCGTTAATTTTCTGGTTGCCTTTCCCAGTGGTAGCATAAATAAATAAATGTCACCACTCCATGCATCTGGCCAAGTTGGTCGGGACCTACCCCGACCAACAACAGGCGAAGTCTCCACCTGATCAGACCGCCTCTGAAAGGGGGCAAAATCCAGAGATAACAACAACTGATGTATATAACTGCCAAAAGGGTAAGAGACCAATCTGAATTTAAACAGCAGGCCAATATAATCTGTTGACATGCGAGGTGGCTTGATATAAATGCCGCCTCTGCCTCTCAGAGAAGATGGGCTAACACCTTTGGCAAGGCTGATAAGGCCAGAATGGCAGGCTGCAAGGCTTTTGCACGTAGAGCAAACCCCAATAATGCCACATCCTCATGGAGACACTCAAAGAGTTCCCCTCCATGAGGACCCAGATATGCAAAACTGCCACCAGGTGCAAACAAGCCCTGAGGCCCTCCACAATAAGGGCCCCCCTAGACAGCACAGGCAGCTGCACCTGGAACTGTCACTTGCCCAACATCCTTGGAAAGTGCTGGGGCAAATAGGCAAATGAACCCCCACTCAGAACACTTGGAAGATGTATCTCGTCTCCTGCTGCTCAAGCACAAAGAACTGAAAGAGCACTTGCAGAGACCTCCCAGGAAAAGAGAGGGTTGTCAGCCAGCCAGGATGAGCTGACAGGACCTCATACTGCAACAGATAAGCAGACAGACCCATACTTGAGAGAGGCTGGGTAAATCATGGAAAAGGGGTCCGTGTTCCATACAGGGTACTGAAGCAAATCTGCATGGACCACAGGAGCAGCAGCACCACAGGATGATGGAACCTCCCGATGAAGGAGGAATTTGAGTCGCCTAATGGGACTTGGAACCGAACCCAAGAGGAAGCAGCTGAGCAATCCAACTCATACACAGGGGAGAAGAAGTATGAAAAACAATCCTCCTGCAACAACAGACCATCCATGGAATGAACCAAAAACCATGGGACGAAAAGGACAGTCCCAGAGACCCAGGGACACTCCTCGGGCTTCCCCTTAACTCTGCAGCATATGTACTTTCACAATCCATAGTACCTTCATGTACATACAGTATATAAGTAAATAAATAAAAAATAAATAATGTGCATTCCAACAACTTTTATACAGGAGATACAAAAAACTTTTAATAAGTATTATTACTTTCCATAGAGAAGGAGTTGTGATCAGAGAACTTGTCGGCTGATCCTTCTGGTCCATCTCTATCATCCTCTACAGTAATCAGATCCATCAATCCTGAGCTTACATCTTCTGCCAACCCACGAGTCTCTAACAAAGGATAAAATCTTTATTAAAATATCATCTAATTAAAATATCTAACTTCTTACATTCAGTCTATTAATAATAAATACAAATACTGTATACATCTTTTGATCTAATTAAGATAATTCAGAAGTACATTCCCACTGTCCAATCTCAGGCTATAGATAATTGAATCAAATAATAATAAAAATAATGGGAGTAAGCGGGAAGGGGGGGAGGGGGGCAGGTGAAAGGAGGCAAGGGGTAAGTGAAGCACAAAAGCATGAAAAATATAGTTAACATAATATCAAATGCAACTGTAGAATGCATAATGGCAGATAAACAAAATGAGCATGCATTTGTAGAAACATCATTCACTCACTTGCATATGTAGGGTCATCCAGCGCCAAGCAAGGAATTGTAGCAATTAGAATTCCAGAAGTGTGTGGCAACATCACCCGGCCAGATAATTTCACAAACTCATCAATCCAAGTTAGGGATATCATCTGAAAGAAAAGTTATCTTCATTATTCCCTTGTTTTCCACTTTCCTGATGTCAGGAGGAATTTACTTAAGAGAAAGGCTGGAGAGCAATAAATAAATAAAGCACTGAGTGAAATGAACTGTCTCTTTCTGAGACATCTCAGTACTAATAGTTCCTTTTAGCTTTATGCAATGGATCTGACCTTGATGGCATTACTCTTCTAACCTCTCAGTGACTATAGCCCAGAGAGACAAGTATCTTTGCAAGTAAGTAATTATCAAAAAGAAGGAGCCATACTGATATAGTGCTATATTAGTTGAGGTCATCAGTCACAGAGTTCCTGTGGCCTACCAGGAACCAGAGCCAGAACGTGGCCCCCTCAGAGAGGCGCAGGGAGCAAATGGCCTATGAACACTTTACATTTTTTTTCCAGGCCAGGTTCTGGCTCTGGTTCCCGGTAGGCAACAAGAACTCTGTGACTGACGACCCCAGCTAATATAGCACTATCAGTAGGGATAGCTTCAGGAAGCTGACGAGGCTCCCCACAGAAAGTTCAGATACGTAGATTGGAAGAAAACGTTGAATCAGCTGGGTACGTCTCCCAACCATTCTGCTGAAAGAAACTGAGCTGCGAAAAACTCCATGGTTCAGACACCGTGCCAAAAGAGCTAGAAACCAAGGGTGAGCTGGCTCCTTGGTGGCCAGCTATATACTGATCACCTACGGTATATAAACAAACTGTCAAACAGGAATTTCCCAATTACCTTTGAATTTTCTTGACAATTAATAAACAATATACAGTACATAATTACTGTAAAATTATTAACAGTATAAATTTATATTTAACAGAACAGAATTGCAGCAACCATTTATTATTATATTTTTTTAATATTCAGAAATAAAATAGAGTACAGTATTATAATCTTTTTAATTACTACATAGCAGTACAAAATTTTTCATATATCTGCTGTGTCCTTAAGTGTTTAATGTGTTACTCTTGAAGTTATTTGAACACATGAGAGAGCAAGTTCACCTGTACTAGTTGATCAGATGACTGTGCATGGGTGATAAGGATGTTGATCATATCAGCAAATTTGACCTTCTCGGGAGCCTTTTTGATGCTCACTAAGAATTCTCCAACGACGGCCTCACACCTTGTAAAAAACATTAAAAATTATGTTATGTTAATTACCCTTAAACTCCTAAGCTCTATACAACAGTTCTGCTTTGAGGTTCACGTGAAAAAATAGCATTGAAAACCCATAAGGATCAATCTCCAATAATTCATTGTGTCAGAGGACAGGCAGCCACAGTTTATACATACAGTACATGTTAGGCTTAAATCGAGGTTCTCCCAGGATCGAATTACTGACCCTCCTCAGGATGCAACCCCACAACAAGCTGACCAACTCCTGGGTACCTATTTACTGCTAGGTGAACAGGATCATTAGGTGATAGGAAACATGCCCAACTATTTCTGTTCCGCCCGGAATTCTCGACCGAGTCAAGGATGAACCCGACTGTACCACTGGGACCCTGAAGTGATGACTGGAGTACAGGAGAAAATGGCAGATAGCAACTGATGAAGTGCAAGTGTTAAATACTAATAATCCTGAGGATACCAGTACATGAAGGTGAGGGTCGTGGTAGTTCAGTACAATCGGGTTCGTTCTTGACTCACAATCAAGAATTCTGGATTCGAATCCCGGTTGGAACAGAAATGGTTGGATGTGTTTCCTATGACCTAATGCCCCTGTCCACCTAAGAGTAAATGTGTACCCAGGAGTTAGTCAGCTTGTTGAGCAGGTTGCATTCTCGGGAGGGTCAGTAATTCGACCCGATCCTGGGGTTGGGGGAGGGGGGCCCTCAATGTGAGCCTAACATGTATGGTATGGTAGGCATGTACAAACATGTACTGTATGTATAAACTGGCTGCCTGTCCCCTGACACAATGAATTAATTATGCACGATCATATATTTTATTAATCAAAACATATTTCCACATTTATGGTGCAACCTCTTAAATTCAGATACTGTACTGTATCCTTATAACATAAATTTCCAAACAACACAAATTCTGCTGTCAGATTCTCTCTCCAGCATTCAAATTCGTAAGCAATAGCCAATAAGTCTATACTGTACTGACTCTGGATGTAATTTCCATACATTCATATTTTTCATTATTTTTACCATTCCGATGCTTCCGATCACGGCCAAGCGTACAGCTATTAGGTTTTGCCGTTTATGAACCCGGGTTTGATTCCCAGTCGAGGCCGAAACAAATGGGAAGTTTCTTTCACTTGATGCCCCTGTTCACCTAGCAGTAAATAGGTACCTGGGAGTTACACAGCTGTTGGAGCTACATCTTGGAGATGTGTGAATGAGGCAGAAAGATATGCAGTAGATATGATAAGAGAAAAATAGGTCTGGAGTCAATATTGTACATTAGATGACCGATTGTTAGAAAGATGGGATCCAAGAGCTAACAGCTCAATCCTGCAGGCACAAAGAGTAAATACAGCCTATAAGAGCTGTGTGAGTGGCAGAAATGTGGAATGCGTTGAAAGAGAGTTGTAGGAGGGAGGCATAGAGAGCTAGATCTCACTTGTCTGTAGTCACAAACAGGTAAGCACTGAATATACAGAGAAATTGTATGGAGTGTATACATGCTTCAGAGCAACTCACATTTTCTTCACTTCTGGCTTGGGAGCTTCCAGGATGAAGAACAATCCCTCTAAAATGTCAGAGAGGAACAAGAGCGTGTCGACATCTGGCACCGTGTGTAAGACAGACACCCATGACACAACCAGTGTTTGTGCCCAGTGATTGTTAACGTACAATTTTTCACGTAGGACAGGAATAAATGCAACCAGATCAAAAGAGGCACTTTCTGTTACTATGTCCTGTGGAATAAAACAAATAATATTTTGATATTCAATGAATAATGAAATTGTTATACTATATAGTGTGTGAGATATATATATATACTGTATACTGTATATTATATATATATATAATGATAATGCTGTACAGTATAACAAATTTGCTACAGTACAATACCTAGGCCAAAGCAGGGCAGGAATTTCATTTGAATACTATTTGTTCCACAACATATATCTTAACTGCACAGCAAAAACTGGCATGATTTTATTGAATTCTAAATGAATATTAACAAAATTATCTCCATACTTTTTATCATTTGATAAACTTTCATAAAATTCCACTATTTTAGAAGACTTGCTACAGCTTCGGTTGATAATGTTTATGCAACTTACCAACAATAAATTAAAAATGTATTAACATAAAAGTGAAAAACAATCAAAATATAAATTTAATTTCAAAATTTTGTGATCTTTCTTTGTAAAGTAATTTTCTTTAAATACATTTGCTGTACATCAATGAAAGTATTATGTATTTAATCAATGTAAAGGGTAAACATTTCTAAAAGTACAAACCTTCATTATTCTATCAAGCATCTCGGAGCCATTTTTTACATTCTGATCAGCATCAGTAGCTAACCGAACAAGGATAATAAAAATGTCATTGAACTGTGACAACACAGTACCTCTTGATACTCTCACAACATTGTAAAGAGACTCTGTTGCGTAATACCGCACATTAGGGTTACTGTCGGTAAAGCATGCCAAAATAGGATTGACAAGTTCTTGAATGTATGGACCAATACCCTGAAATAAAACTTGGATTAGAAATGATGTATATATATGATACCTGTAATAAAACTAAATTTAATAATTAAGCAGGCAACAAAATAAAATTATAATTTTCCTTGGCAATAAAATAAAATAATTGTTTATAAAAACAGTAAGTGGCACACTGACAGTCCAAACCTCGATATAGTGGATTTTGCAAAATATTCGGACCAGATCCGAATTCCAGTGAAGATGTGCTAAAATTTGGATCATTGGTTCATCAAATACATGTTATTTTCATCATAATGAATTTTTCTAATTTTCCTATTCTTGCTTTTATATTTAATGAATTTACTGAGCTTGCCACTAGGTAAACAGGCAGGTATTATTGAGCTAGTTGGAGCACAACTTCCTCCTCACTAGACCAACTCTTTCCACAACATTTTCACGGAGTGGAAGTGTGAATGTACAAGTGTTTTCCTGGTGTGCTTGCGGGGGTTGAGCTTCGGCTCTTTGGTCCCGCCTTTAAACTTGTCAGTCAACTGGTGACCCAATTCCTGAGCCTATTGGACTCTATCATATCTACATTTGAAACTGTATGGAATGTGCCTCCACCACATCATGTCCTAATCCATTCCATTTGTTAACTATTCTGACACTGAAAAAGTTCTTTCTGACATCCCTTTGGCAAGCAGGATGTGTGTGGGAAGGCAGGGATGTGTGTGGGGAGGCAGGGATGTGTGTGAAGAGATGGTAGACCACTCCAAGAATCCAGTGTCTCCAGTACACATTTTATTTTAATGTTTTCCCAATGTCTAAGTAATTACCCAAGTTTAGTTACAGGATGAGAGCTATGCTCGTGGTTTCAATATTTTCACTAAGCAGTTTCACTATTTTAATTAAATAATTTATTTTCAAATATTTAATGAAAATCATGCATTACCCTAGTTCCTAGTCCAATAGCAACAGCAGCCAAACCAATAAGCCCTCCTTTACGCGTGTGGGGGTTGTGTGACATGGCAAATTCCTCCAAAACACGAATAAGTCGCCTGATCTGTTCTTGATTGTCGACCAAAGAAAAATCCTTCACCATCCTGCAATAAATCAAAGTCAAATTGTTCATTTCACAAGACACACAAGAAAAATACCAATCATCATTAATAATAATACTCTAGCAGATACAAGAATGTGGCTAATTTAACATGATTGAGACAATAACTGTGATGAATACCATTACAGTGTGTAATGGTATTTTATACATTTTGATAATGCAGTACTGTATATGATGTAAAGCTATGATAAACAAATCAAGCATTAAATATAATGAAATACCATTTTCTGGTGGGCTCTTCTTCTTTCCTGGGGGTGACCTGGGCTGCTAGCCAGGACCCTGGGTGACCTGGGCTGCTAGCCAGGACCCTGGGTGACCTGGGCTGCTAGCCAGGACCCTGGGTGACCTGGGCTGCTAGCCAGGACCCTGGGTAACCTGGGCTGCTAGCCAGGACCCTGGGTGACCTGGGCTGCTAGCCAGGACCCTGGGTGACCTGGCCTGCTAGCCAGGACCCTGGGTGACCTGGGCTGCTAGCCAGGACCCTGGGTGACCTGGGCTGCTAGTCAGGACCCTGGGTGACCTGGCCTGCTAGCCAGGACCCTGGGTGACCTGGGCTGCTAGCCAGGACCCTGGGTAACCTGGGCTGCTAGCCAGGACCCTGGGTGACCTGGCCTGCTAGCCAGGACCCTGGGTAACCTGGCCTGCTAGCCAGGACCCTGGGTGACCTGAGCTGCTAGCCAGGACCATTCGACAGTGCTCGGTGGTCAACTTGGGCATAGATATTTCATTGAATCACCTCACTTTGTGAGGCCACGTGAGCAACACAAATGTGAACAAGCTTGAATGGGAACCAAGCCATTATGCAATTGAAAACTCCACACCCAAGAAGGGTTCAAACCCAGACAGATAGGAGCACTATGCACCTTGGCGTACCTGGTACCTTAACCACTAGACTTGCCCAAGTTGACCACCGAGCGCTGTCGGATCTTGGATAAATAGTTTCACGACTACCAAGATTTTTGTACAGTCGTTTGGTATATATATATATATATATATATATATATATATATATATATATATATATATATATATATATATGTATATGTATATATATATATATATATATATATATATATATATATATATATATATATATATGTATATCTATATATATATAAAATTTCCACATTAGATGGAAATAAAAAATTATTGTTAATGATATGTTTGCAAGCATAATGCCATGGCCTTTGCAGAGAATGAAGAAGAATTGTAAAAGATTGTGAATGAAATATGATAGGAAGAATGTTTAGGTTAATGAAGCAAAAAGAAAGAATATCGTGTTTGAGAGAAGGGAGGTTACCTTGAGGTTACCTTGAGGTGCTTCCGGGGCCTAGTGTCCCCGCGGCCCGGTCGTCGACCAGGCCTCCTGGTTGCCGGACTGATCAACCAGGCTGTTGGACGCGGCTGCTCGCAGCCTGACGTATGAGTCACAGCCTGGTTGATCAAGTATCCTTTGGAGGGAAGGGGGAGGATATTTGGATATTCCCTTGGATATTTGGACTTCCCTGGATATTTGATGAATATCCAGGGAAGGGGAAGCTGTGAATTTTGTAAATCCTAAAGAGTGGAAACAATGTATTCAACATAAGAATACAAATGAGGGAATTGAAACGAGAAGAATTGGTAAGTCTTACAGACTGTACATAATAATGGTGTTAGATGTAAGTGGGAGAAATGTGAGGTATGGTAATTATGAGAAGGAACTAACCCATATAAATAGAAATATGGAAGATGAAATATGAGTCTGTAATGAAGGCAATAAGAATGGTAGGATAAGTGAATAGCATAAAGGAATACTATATTAGTAGAAAGGACTCACAGTATGCTACTTTCTGCTCTGATGAATATAAGAGTACAAGCAGCGGTAATGAATTCTTTAAGTGAAGCAGCTGGTATAAATGAACTGAGTATACCAATGAAGCATATGAATAATAGAACATTTCTAATTCATGAAAAATTAAGTAGCACATTATGCTTAAAATTATATTACAAAAAATGTTCTTAAATTATAAATACATCACCTATTCCTAAAAATATGGAATGTATGTGTTATCCTCACAATTTTGTAAACACGAAACAGGTTATCTCTTCAGATCTAAGTAGAATATATTGTATAGCATACTCTGAAAATCCTTACCCAGATATGAATGTATTTTAGTAAAAAAAATAAAAGCCTAATTTTGTAAGTGCTTATAGCATTGATATGAAGTAAATGATATTATAAGTGAAGTGAAATGTTGGTGATGGTTGTGTGAGCAGATAAACACAAGTCAGAACTCACTTCTCTATTTCGAGGGCGGCGGCTTTCCTCTTGTCATAGAGCTTGTCACTGAGCGCCCGGACACACGCCGAGCTCAGCGGCGAATAATCTCGGTCACTCATAATGCTGCTGGCTGTATTATCGTCTGGATATTAAGAAGAAGACATGTACCTAGTGTTCTCTCAGAGCAAGTCAGAAGGGAGTGCCAGGAGAGGCGTAAACAGAGTCCATGATGTAGGCTGTACGCCGCCCCCGCCTCAGTCAGCTGATGACTGTTTACTCCAGCGCCGTGTCCGGACGCCCTAACACTGTGTCCGCATCCCTGCACACACCAACCTAGCCAGACCTCGCCAACCCAACACCAGTGAAGATCACTCTCAGAATCACTATCATTACCAGCAGCACTACCTCATTAATACAAAAGTCTCGTCATTAATCATTCCCTCAAATACACTTTCCAATTTATCGCAGTGTCCACAGTAGGGCAAAATGGTCTTCATGTAAAGGAGACAATATCATTCATCATTCATTATTAATGAAAACTGAGTCATGTGAGCAACGGTTAAGTGGATAATTTATGTGTAATATGTGAGTATTGTGTGAGAGGGAGGTGGTCGCGCCCCGACCACCACAGCACAACAGCGACGGCAGATTTACGAGCGACAAGTGCGTTTGCGCGCGACCCCACTGAGCAGACGACACTGAATGGAAGATGCTCGGGGGAGGCCAGGCTGAGGGGACCATTTTCTCACTTTTTTTACTCACGTCCAAGTACTAGTGACCGAGATAAGCTCACAATGTGCTGTGCTAGTGTCGTCGGTGACTCAGAAAACGTGTGTATGATAAGAGGTCGGTGAAGGCGCGGTGAAGCGAGAGATAAGCCTCCAAGATGATGCCTGTGTGACAGATGAAGGCCAAATCCCTCTAGGCTCGGCATTCCAGAGACGTTGGTGCTCAAGAAATAGTATCGGGAGTGTAGCGTTGTGATGGTGAAGTGATGTGGTGAGGGTGTAGTGATGAGTGGTGAGGCCAGGGTGTACTAAGGTGTAGTGGTGAAGGAGGTTGTCCACATGGGGCCGCCTCTACCCGTCTCCTTCTCTCCTAACATGATGCTCTACACCGTAAGTATCTTAATATTTAACTATCTCTCACATTCTGTATCCCTTCCACTTCCTTCCTTCTCTAGATATACACTACGGTAAAAGCAATATAGAATTATTTTTTCCACTACTAGGAAAAACATGAAAAATACCCACTTAAATATAACAAAAATATATTCACAGGATTTTGACCTGAATGAAAGCATTGAACCAATAATATATTTGTTACATCAATGGTCAAATGTAATCTGTTATCGTAAGAATCATATACATTTACATATACTCACAGTATGATACGTATGTATGAACAAGTTACCAGGGAATGCGAGGCGGCCTCATATACATATACATTCATATACATATACGGCCTTTACATACATGTGACCGTCGAAGCAAATATAAAATTAACAATATGTCTGTTCAATTCAATTTCTTTCTTTATTATGCACCCATACCCATCCGGTGGGCGGTAGTGTAAAGGGTTACAGAGGCACATAATCGGTTCAGGAACTGAACCCTCTAGTTCGTTTAGCTAATAACTCTTTTGACGCTAGTTACACAATTATTAATGTTGTATATACATGTACACATACTCATACATACATGTACATATATACATACACATACATATTTAACCACCTACTCAGATACACACATCAATAATCTTTTGTATCACAAGTGATATGTGTTCAAGGGGTTTTAAAACCATTAATGTTTATTGCCAAAATGGCTATATGAACAAGTGTGGGCTACATGGTACTGTATATCACTATTATGGTAAGCCTACGTATTGCTTATTCACTGTACCGAACTCAGTTTAAAACTAATCAACTTGAGTTAGTTTATAGTTTATTTGATATATAAAGATAGGTCTATCGTGTAATTAATATGGGTACCTCGTTTTTTTCCTACTGTTGTATATAGGCAAGTTGTGTATTTCTTTTCAGGGCAATTTGTAGTTAAACTTTATTAATTGCTGGCCTAATGCGAGTACAAATTTACCATTATTCATTATTGAGTAAAATTCAAAAGTTACTATTACTCGTGTTCTAAATCAATTATAGTAACAAGATTCGCCCATGTCAGTTCCGGACCTATATTAGTATTAATTTTAATGTGGAATATGGTGTAGCCTCTTATTATTCATTATAAATATGTTATTGCCTGCGTTGTGAATGGCAATGTGAGCTATGGTTTATCAGTATGAAGAAAAGGGATTCCGGTTTTTTGTTGTTCATTAAAATATGGGATTTGTGTTATACATTTATAACACGTGGGATTCCGGAATGTTATTTGTTATACATTTGCTCCTTGTTGATCATTATTCTTTACAAGGACTGTGGTATATCATAATTCATTTATGCAACTAGTTAATAGTGACAATGTATACATTACATTAAGTGTTCTGACTTTGAATCGGGTTTTAAAAACTCATCAATTATGATTCCTTTTTTGGGTTGTTATTCTGCTATAATTAGTGTGATTTATCACTGGGCCTATTCATTAGCCTACGTGTCCTGGTGTATAATTAATGATTACATAGGTTTTGTCCTGTTATAGTTTCTGATAAATTAATCATAATGTTTTCTTATTTAACATTATTCGCCATAATATGGGTTTTAATTATTCATTTTCATTATAGGCCTATAATGTATGGGTTCTCAATATGATAGGCCTATAATGGGTACATATTCGTTACTAATTAAATATAAGTATATTAGGTCATGGTTTTAAGTGTATTCTAGGTTACATAGCGTCATGATAAAGAGGTTTCTGTTTGAGCTTTGGGGCTTCGGGAGTAAAGATCGCCTTCGACTCAATCGGGAATCCCGGGTCGAATCCCGAACGGAATAGAAATGTTAGGCTCGTTTCCTTTCAATTAATGTCTCTGTCCACCTAGCAGTAATTAGGTAGCCAGGAGTTAGTCAGCTGGTGTGAGAGAGGGGATGCAAGCCTAACGTGTGTATATACACAGGCTGCCTGTCCCGACAAAACTAATTAATTTATTCGTTAGCCTATCATATGGTTTTTCGAGTTGCGATTAGTCAATATTGGTTTTGGATAATGATAATTTATTATAATGTTCTGGTTAATGATTATTCATTATATTTAAGTTCCAGGATTGGGATTATTCTTTATAATTAAGTTTGTTTATGATTATTAATAATAAGTTTCTGGTTTATAATTATTATAATTAAATTCCTGGTTTATTATTATTACTTATAAATAAGTTCCAGGTTTACTATTAATAATTGTGATTTTATTTTATTTATTTATTTATATACAAGACGGTACATTGGGGGGTTAAGAGAGTACAAAGTAATGATGATGATTTTACAGTCTTGTAGAGCCATTTGCACACATAGTGTTTCGGGCAAGTCCCTAATCTAACAGATAACAGATAATAACAGATAATTAAGTTTGTTATATTATTATTTACATCTATAGAAGAGAATGTCTTTCGGTTCGTTTGTTTTTATGTTTGTCTTAAGTTTGAAGGTCAGCACCTTGGACTAATCTCACTCAACTTTTCAAGATGACACGAGGGTGGTATGAGACTGTCATAGACCAGACGGGGTCGGCTCTAGTTCCCTCCCCCCCCCCCATTTAAAAAGGATTAACAACTCTTAAGATTCCCAGTGTTTCCTACGAAGTCTGAAAAGGGGGGGGGGGGTTGTTTCCAGCTTTAAAAGTGTTTTCAGCTGTTGATATATCCCAACTTATACACAACTTAACTGCTACGTTTTTGAAGCTATGTTGTTACCACGTTGCATCACAGAAACAACTGTACAAATAATACAGTGGTGACATTGTTTGTTTGTTGGGACTGTATTTTCTCAGAGAGAGAGGTGGGGAAAGAGAGAAGAAGGAGAATTGGGGAAGATTGATAAGAGAAGAAAGGGGGGAGATAGGGAAAGAGAGGAGGGAGAGGGGGAGATTTGGAGAGAGGAAAGAAAGAAAGAAGAGGCGAGGAAGAGTGGAGAGCGAGACCCGGGCATCTCCAGGTAACTTGATCATCCAGAACATTTATAAATGGAAATGTCTGTTTGTCTGTCTGTCTGAAGTTGGAAGCCAGACGCTTGGGCTAGCCTCACCCAATTTTTTCACAGTAATTGGTGTTGGGTACATTCTCAACATGGCTGGGTCAGGAGTCAGCACCAGTCAAATGAGTACGAAATGGCATGGTGCCATAGGCACTGTTATGACTGTTGTTCAGCTACTATGTCGTCTGCAATGTCTCCTTAAGGTCAAGCCCGTAATCCACCCTAAAGATGAATAATAAAGTAATCTTAGATGTTAAGTTATCCGAGAGACAATTAAAAGAATCTCTAGGATAGTAATACGATCAGATAAAATGTAACAATGTAATTACACATAAAAGAAAAAAATGCTGTTTCAGGGAAGATTTTCATTGGGTAAATCAAAATTGTGCCAAAAAATTCTCAGATCCAATCTACAGGATCATTTAGGTATAAAAATACAGATAATAAGAGCCTACAGCTATACCCTGTCTCCAACAATTAAATGGCCTGAGGTTAAATATATGGAACTGTGGCAACACTATAACATTCTAATACCCTAAGTAAATCACTGATCACATCCTTAGTATTGGTTAGTATTGGTAGTAACTTAATTCAGGACATTAACAATAATATTACAGTGGTAATATACATACTAAGAAAGAATACACACAAACACATACGCTAATACACTCAAGCACCACATACACACACCAGTACACACACACACACACACCAGAACACACACACACACACACACACACCAGTACACACACGCACACACCAGTACACACACACACACACCAGTACACACACACACTCACCAGTACACACGAGGGACACACACACACACACCAGTACACACACACACACACCAGTACACACACACACTCACCAGTACACACGAGGGACACACACACACACACCAGTACACACACACACTCACCAGTACACACGAGGGACACACACACACACACCAGTACACACCAGGGACACCTGCCCCACGACTATAACTCCCAGATAGTGTGGAGGGCAAACGCGGCCTGTGTAATAATTAACGAGTCACATGTCCTGACCACACCTGCATAGTTTACAACTTTCTCCTAAACTTTCTCCTGTTTACTTGGGTGAAAATATCTCCCTGGAAATGTTGTGTGTTTACATGGGTGAACATATCTCCCAGGATACATTGTGTTTACATGGGTGAAAATATCTCCCTGGAAATGTTGTGTGTTTACATGGGTGAACATATCTCCCAGGATACATTGTGTTTACATGGGTGAAAATATCTCCCAGGAAACATTGTGTGTTTACATTTATTTATTTATTTATATACAAGAAGTTACATTGGGGGTTAACAGAGAATATAGAAAATAAGTTAAATTAACATTCTTGTAAAGCCACTAGCACGCATAGCGTTTCGGGAAAGTCCTTAAACTAACATAATTTTTTTTGATAAATTAACAGTAAAATTGATAAATTTTTTTTACAGGTATTTTACAGCTTTTCTTTACAGGTACAGATAATTTTAAGTAGAATAATTACAGTAAAATTGACAATTTTTTTTTACAGGTAAATTGAAGAAATTTTGACACAAAAGGAGATCAGAATAATACACAATAATAACAATACACAATAAAGACACAAGGATTACTAGGTACATGAGGATAGCATTTCAGGGTTATACATTGCTTCACTGAAGCACAATATGAGGATCATTTCAAGGAAAAGTTTCAAGGAATAATGCAGTAGAAAATGGACTCAATACAACCATGATATCAGATGATATCTAAGATTACAATGGTAAAGTAATATGGCTTAGGTACAAATATTGGGGGAATGAGTAGCACTAGATACACTGTGAAGATAAAGCCCATGGTAGAAAACTATTAAGATGAAATTAGGTACTTTTTGGTTTTATTTTTTAATAAGGCAAAAGTTGGACAGCTTTTCAAATAATTAGGGAGTGAGTTCCATAGACTAGGTCCCTTTATTTGCATA